TCTGGTGGAGTCCGTCCCACCATCAAACAGCTCTTGCCTCCAGAAAGGCCTTCCTGATGCTTCGAATCTCCTTTCTTGTAACTTGAAGCCATTGGTTGGAGTCCAACAGCATCTTTCTTGGGCAAGCCTTGCTGAAAGGGGAGAGGAGCTAGCAGGTCTTATCACAAAACAAGATACCCCTTTGGATCCTAAAATAGCCCTTCTGTTGTACTACTCAGAAGCTGCTGAACGACTTTCCCACAAGGATCTAGTTACTCGCCTGATGGCTTACTATTGCAAGGAGTTGGAAGACTCTAAATGCAGGCATGTTTGAGACCAGGACCTCACAACTCAGGCGTTTAATATTGTTACACAAGTCGGTTCTTGGGAGAGACTGGCTGCAGGCAGCCTGCACTGCTGTCTCTTGAAATGACTATGCAGTAAGATCTGGGCTCATTGCAGACAGAAGGTGTAAATAGGTGAATAAGCCATATTCTCTTTTTTTTTAAAGAAAGTTTTTATTAAATTTTACATTTTTATCATGTTATTGTTGTTGTTTAGTCGTTTAGTCATGTCCGACTCTTCGTGACCCCATGGACCAGAGCACGCCAGGCCCTCCTGTCTTCCACTGCCTCCCGCAGTTTGGTCAAACTCATGCTGGTGGCTTCGAGAACACTGTCCCACCATCTCGTCCTCTGTCATCCCCTTCTCCTTGTGCCCTCCATCTTTCCCAGCATCAGGGTCTTTTCCAGGGAGTCTTCTCTTCTCATGAGGTGGCCAAAGTCTTGGAGCTTCAGCTTCAGGATCTCTCCTTCCAGTGAGCACTCAGGGCTGATTTCCTTCAGAATGGAGAGGTTTGATCTTCTTGCAGTCCATGGGACTCTCCAGAGTCTCCTCCAGCACCAGAATTCAAAAGCATCAATTCTTCAGCGATCAGCCTTCTTTATGGTCCAGCTCTCACTTCCATACATCACTACTGGGAAAACCATAGCTTTAACTATATGGGCCTTTGTTGGCAAGGTGATGTCTCTGCTTTTTAAGATGCTGTTTAGGTTTATCATATTACATCATATCAATTCATCAAAATAAAGAAATGCATTTCCCCACATTCCCTCCGCCCCCCCGACTTCTCTCAACCTCCTATTCTGCTTCCCCCCAATATTGGTTTCCCCTGCTTGCTTTCCTGTACCTTCATAGGGAATCTCTATATAAATTGTATATAGATTATTGTTATCTTTTATCACTTTGGCATCATCTTTATAGTTTTTATACTTCTTTTGATAATTGTACATAATAACATAATTGTACATTATTTTTGATAATTGTATAAAAGGATGTCACATAGAGGAGGGAGAAAGGTTGTTTTCTGCTGCTCCAGAGAAGCGGACACGGAGCAATGGATCCAAACTACAAGAAAGAAGATTCCACCTAAACATTAGGAAGAACTTCCTGACAGTAAGAGCTGTTCGACAGTGGAATTTGCTGCCAAGGAGTGTGGTGGAGTCTCCTTCTTTGGAGGTCTTTAAGCAGAGGCTTGACAACCATATGTCAGGAGTGCTCTGATGGTGTTTCCTAATTGGCAGGGGGTTGGACTCGATGGCCCTTGTGGTCTCTTCCAACTCTATGATTCTATGATTCTACATGTTTACTCAAACCCTGCTAGTGAATCTATTTCTTTACATTGTTTCTGTAAGTACAGCATAAATGGTTCCCAATCTTTTTTTAAATTCTCTATTGTCTTTGAGTCTTTCTGTTAATTTCGCTGTTTCAGCATATTCCATTAGTTTTCGTAGCCATTCTTCTTTAGTTGGTATTTCTTCACTTTTCCGTCTTTGGGCTAGAATCATAGAATCATAGAGTTGGAAGAGACCACATTTCATTATAATTATAATTTCATTATAAATCATATCTCAATAATTTTTAATCAATTTGCAGCTCCGCCACATATGAAAAAAGTACCTTCCTTTTCTTTACATTTCCAACACTTATTGGAGCCTGTTCTGTACATTTGGCTATATTTTCAGATGTAATATACCGTCTATATATCATTTTCATATAATTCTTTTAATAGTATACAACCAGTAAATTTCAAATTCACTCTCCACAGTTTCCCCCATTCTTCCATAAGCCATATTAATTTGTTAAATCATTTTTATTAATTTTCCAATATAAAACATCCAATTAACATGTCAAATCATAATCCAATTAAAATAAAAAACTGAAATAAAAAAGACCAAATTCTCATCCAAATTACAATTATTAATTTTTCGGGACTTCCCATAGTCTGGACCTTGAAGCATATCCAAATCTCAGTCCTGCCTCTCCAAAGGCCATATTCCTAAAGCCAGGTGGCTGGCACCACTTGGGCTCTTGCTCAGCAGAGAGAGGGGCAGGTACCCAGCTTTTATAAGACTATAAATGGACAAACCGACAACCCATGGAAACCAATACTTTCAGTCAACCTGGCGTAGTTTTATTACACTGCAACGCTGGCAGAACATGGTTATAGGCCTCAGAGGACACATGGCAACTTGTGGAATGATGCATTTGCCTAAAAACTGGAATGACTTCCAAGTTAGATGTGACTAAACAGATATTTAGTGCATCTCTCTCTGTGTGTGGATTGCTGAATACTGATGGTTGCTTCTTGTATAAATACTTGAAAACAATAAAATGTTTTTTTTTTGGGGGGGGGAGGAACTGCACCAGAGCACTATAGGTCATCTCAGACCCACCTCTCACTCTGCTGCCCCCTTTTAGGACACCCAAATCCTTTTACTGGAGATGGCTACCTTCCATTGACTCTCAAGAAAGGAAAAATCTGGGCATATTCAATGTAAAAAAACCAAACTTTGAAGGCTGCCTTTCTGTTCCTCATTATTTAACTGCCGAGTGCATGCGCAAACGAACCAGGAAATCTATATCTGGTTTCATAACCTTTTCCCACACTCCTAACCACCGCTGCGTCTCTCCAAAGAGTTTACTGAGCAGGGAAGCAATGATTACAGCTCTTTTGCTTATGAAAACAGCAACACTCCTCGGGGCAATATTGAACATGACAAGGAGGCAGCAGCAGCATCTTGTATGACCCAAAGCATTGTCTCGTCGAGTTAAAGAGGGCTGAAACATCGTGTCAGGTAGAAAGCCACAGGATGATATGATGGTACATGACGAAGGGGAGGTGGAGGGGAAAGCAGCCCCACACTTCCTGGTTTCCCTACGGGGAGGTTTGCTGCTCATTTGCAGGCTAAGCAGACCCTCCACCCTGATGCAATGATAAATGACCCAGGGTTGCCCACAGAGGCACAAACATTGAGAAGAGGAGGTTTTTACTTGGCCAAAGGGAAGCCAGGCTTGGTGATGTGTGTGTGTGTGTGTGTGTGTGTGTGTGTGTGTGGAGAGAGAGGGGTTGCAGCTACAGAAGGCAATGAGGATATAAAATGAGGGTGTGATAGCCTGGGATTCAGACTCAGAGGCTGAACCTGAGGAATCCCAGCCTGCACAGGAGTCCCCACCTCCAGAACCAGCTGAGCCGGGGCTGGGGCCTGAGCCTGAAGGGTCCTCACCTGTGCTGGATCCTCAGGTGCAGGCACCAGCTGAGTCTGCTCTGGCTCCTGAGATGATGGAGGATCCATTGCCTGCAGGTGCTCCACTCTCAGCCCCGTCAGAGGAAGCTGAGGTTGCCTCTGGGTCTGGTAACCCTCCAGCCTCTCCTGAGCTGCAGAGGCTCAGGGCAGAGAGGAGGAGGGAACTAAGTTCCTGCTCACCTCCAGGCCAGGAGAAAAGGGTTTATACCTTGGCCTTTTCTATTCCTGAAGATGTCCCACGTGGGTATGGATTGGCGGGCACCAGCTTGGCTGCAGGAGTTGCCGGAAGGAAGTTTAACAATTAATCTCTCTTCCCAGGGAACTCTGGGGATTGTTACCTCTGGGAGGTGAATAGAGGAGGAGAGAGGGGAGAGGGGAATTCTGTGGCTCAAGCAGAAATCCACTGCTCTAGTGGAACAGCTGTGTTGGATACCACACAGACCCATCACAGACCACACAGACAAAAATGACTCCTAAGAGACACCAGGGAAGTCTTCTCCCAGTCCAGGATTAAATTGTGGACTTTTGCTACCACAAGAGGAGGTGATGCATGCATGGCCCTAAAACAGGTGTTTCCCAGATGTTATTGGACTCCAGCTGCCAACATTCTAAGCCAGCACGATCAATGGTCAGAGGGTGGTGACCTCTGCAGTCCAATAGCATCTGAAGTACTTCGGGGGCCCCATCCCTGCCCTCTGTGTTCAGAGGCAAATGGTCTTCAGATATTAACTGCGAGTGGCGCGGGACTGGGCGGAGGAGAAGAGATTAAACAGGGAGAGGGGCAATCGCCTTCCCGCCTGATTTACACGCTTCCTAGACGCATCAGTCTGGCCAAGATGCTGCGCTAAACGAGGATCCAACCCGCCACGTTCAGCCTCCCCCCCGCAATCCCATTTACAGGTCTCCCAGTCCCAACTGGGCTGCGGTTCCCCCAGCCAACCCGTGATCCCCTTGTACTGGGCGACGGCGTCCTCCTGGGTCCTGGGTGAAGCACTCCAGGGTGTCGTGGGAGTGCGGGTGGGCGCCTAAGCCGCATCCAACGCTCCAGAGAGGACGTGCGCTTCCTTTTCCGCAGCAGGAGCGGCGCCTCTCCTCTGCTGCGGCCGCCCCCTCCTCGGCGAGGGCAGGGGGGCAGGAGGAGGAGCTCCTCTCCGGGGGCGGCTTCCCTGGGCCAATGGAGGCCGGGCACTGGGCTCGAGCTGGCCAATGGCGAGCGTGGGGGGGCCCCGAGAAGTGGAGGGGCGGCTGCGGCAGCCAGGCGCTCGCAGAGGCTGGCGGCGCGCAGGCAGAGCGAGGCTGGCCGTCGGCGCAGCAGCTGCAGCAGGCGCTGTCCGCCGTCTCTGGTGCTGAAAGCTCCGTGGTGCTGAAAGCGCCTCCGCTCGCTCGCTGCTGCTGCCGGTGGCCGTCGAGGGGCAGCGGCGGCTGCTGTGCTCCATGGACGAGATGGAAGAGGAGCTCAAGTGCCCGGTGTGCGGCTCCTTCTACCGGGAGCCGCTGATCCTGCCCTGCTCGCACAACCTGTGCCAGGCGTGCGCCCGCAACATCCTGGTGCAGACGCCCGAGGCGGACTCGCCGCAGAGCCGTCGCGCCTCGGGCTCCGGCGGCTCGGCCTCCGATTATGACTACTTGGACCTGGACAAGATGAGCCTGTACAGCGAGGCGGACAGCGGCTACGGCTCGTACGGCGGCTTCGCCAGCGCGCCCACCACGCCGTGCCAGAAGTCTCCCAACGGCGTGCGCGTCTTCCCGCCGACCGTGCCGCCCGCCGCGCACCTGCCGCCGGCCTCGGCCGCTTCTCTGGCGCCGGTGCCGCGCAACTCCTGCCTGACGTGCCCGCAGTGCCACCGCAGCTTGATCCTGGACGAGCGGGGCCTGCGCGGCTTCCCCAAGAACCGCGTCCTGGAGGGCGTCATCGACCGCTACCAGCAGAGCAAGGCGGCCGCCCTGCGCTGCCAGCTGTGCGAGAAGGCGCCCAAGGAGGCCACAGTCATGTGCGAGCAGTGCGACGTCTTCTACTGCGACCCCTGCCGCCTGCGCTGCCACCCTCCGCGGGGGCCGCTAGCCAAGCACCGCCTGTTGCCCCCTGCCCAGGGCCGGGTCAGCCGGAGGCTCAGCCCGCGCAAGATCTCCACCTGCACCGACCACGAGCTGGAGAACCACAGCATGTACTGCGTCCAGTGCAAGGTGCCCGTCTGCTACCAGTGCCTGGAGGAGGGCAAGCACTCCAGCCACGAGGTCAAGGCCCTGGGTGCCATGTGGAAGCTCCACAAGGTCAGCCCCCTGGAGTGTGTCTATGGACGGGCGGGAGGGGGAAAGACCTTTTATTTGTTTGCTTATTGCATTTATATATTACCTTTTCCTCCAAGGAGCTCATGGTTCTCCCCACTCCACATTTCAACCCACAACAATTCCGTGCGAGGTAGGGTAGGCTGAGAGACAGTGGCTGGCCCAAGGTCACCCATGGAGATTCAAGGGGGGATTTGAACCCTGGTCTCCCAAGCCCTAGTTCAACACTCTAACCACTATACTATAGGGCTGGCATGCAGTAACCTGAAGGCAGCTCCTGGTCCATTCTCGGGGGGGGGGGGGCTTCTTCCCATCTCTCCTATCCATCCATTCTTTTCATTTCTCTTCTCTTCTCTCTCCATCTCTTTCTCTCTCTCTTATCTACCTCTTCACTTGGTTCTGTTTAAAGGTCTTCAGTCTCCAACTCTCCCTCTCCTCCCCCCCCCCTTCTCTTTCTTCGCCTTCCTCAACTTGGTGCCCCCCCACCAGTTGTTACCTGACTACAACTCCAGAGCCCCTACCATGGCTCACTGGGGCTGATGGGAGTTGTAGTCCCAAGCAGCTGGTGGGCACTAGCTGGGCAGTCAGCTTTGAAGAGTTCCCTTCTTCTCTTTCCATCTCTTGACTCCCTTCATTGCCCCACTTCGTCTTTTTCTGCAGGGTCCCTCCTTAGGGTTCATCCACACCATCCCTCAATGTGGATAGCAAGCTTCCTGTTCTTCCATTAATTTTAATTTGCCCATAGGACGCTCTCCTCTAAATCACTGCCTCCCCACACTTTCCTCTAGCTCCGTACGGATTTTCTCATACCCTCTCATTTTTAGAGCATGCCTGGTATGTGAAAATCCAGACTGAGGGAGAAGGAACGTTTGTGGAGGCAGTGATTTGCAAGAGAACGTCATACGGGTAATGGAGAATCAATAGATGTACATCCATATTAAATGGCAGTATGGACGAGCGAACACTCTCATCCTTCCTTCCTTCCTTCCTTCCCTCCCTTCCTCCCTCTCTCCCCCCCCTTTCCTCTCATCAGCCAGCTTCCTCCCTACCTGACTAATCAATCCCACCCCCCATCTCCCTCCCCCGCCTTTAATGATTCAGTCTCAGCTCCATGTAAACAACCTTCTTCCCAGTCTTTGCTCCTCGGTGGGCTTCCAGGAGTCCCTTTCCAGACCCCCCCCCAGCTGCTGCCCCTCCTGTCTGTCAGCCAATCCAGCTGCTGCTTGGGGTGTCTCTCACCCTGATTTCGAAGCACAGAACTGCTGGGGCTCCATTGCCTCTTTTCCCATGGCTCTTGCCACCCCCACCCCCATTTTCTTGGCTGCTGTTCAAGTGTTTGCACCAAGCTGCCTGCAGTGCAAAGCAACACAGTCCTGGGGGTGGGGGGTGGGGGCATTGGGGGTGGATGAATTTAACATTGACAGATGAGTGGGTGTGGGGGGTGGTCAGGAGCAGGGATGGAATAGACTTTGTTATCCTGCAGCCCTCGACTGTCCTTATATCACCCCTGGGACTGCCCAGGCTTCCATTGCCTTTGCCCACATCCAGGCGACGTTCCCCGCAGGAACCTCCACAAGCTATTCTTCCAAACGCACCTCTCGTTTTTCAGGGAGGCTGCAAAGGACAGGACCAGATATCTAGAGCCAGGGGTGGTGGGCAGGGTGCTGGGATCAATCCTGGCTCAGTGCAGCTGCTTTGGGTCTCTCAGCTGCATTTCTGTGTTGCCATATGCGCAGGAATGTGTTGTGTTTATTTTGTTAAGAGGGGGAAACGCTTTGCCTATGCCTGTCAGAGGTGATAATATTTTCAGCCCTGTTCCTTCACTGACGACAAAGCTGGCATTGGGGAAAAAAGGAATTATTGGTTCAAATGAAGGGTCTGTGGAAAGAGGGGCTTTAAGCCAGTGACAGATCTCAAGAGCATCAGAGGAGATTTCAGAGGCTGCTTTCTGGAGGATTAGATTTCTCTCCTGAATGCTGACCAGCCTCTCTGCAAAATATTTCAGATGACACTTGATGTTGCTTGATGCAGCCTTTGCCAACCTAGTGCTCTCCTGATGCTCTCGGACTGCAACTTTCATCGGCCCCAGCCGGCACGAATGCAATGGGAGTTATAGTTTGACAACATCTGGAAGACTCCAGGTTGGCTGGCTGAATAAATATGGAGCAGCAACTGCAGTGGTGGGTGGGAAGAATGAGATGAGGGGTACGGTTTTAGTCTCCCACCAAATCCACCCATTCTACGTCCCATTCCACCCACCCACCCACTGGCTACCCATGTCTAGCTGTCACAGGGGATCTGGCTGCAGGATAGTGACCCTGCCTCTGAGGTAACTAGGGCAGAGAAGCGACTCTGATGTGGCTGGATATCCCCTCCTCCCCCACGTACCCTGATGGAACACGTAAGCCGGGCATCAGCGCATGGATGCACATCGGCATAATTGATTCCCCTCTCTCACACACACCCGATCACCCTCGCTGAGCTGTCTGGGCAGGGAGCCAGGATGTGGCATGTTCAGTATGGTGTGTGGGAAGAAGCCACCTAGTGACACATTTATCCCTGAAGAGGGTTTGGCGGTGGTGATTTTTTGCTTTTTGCAAATGTCGCACCTGGACTGTGAAGTCCATGTTCCAATGCGCAAACCAGAAGCATCTGCCTCTGTTGGAGATGAAGTGCATGTACACCCATCACCGTCGGTTGAAACTCCAGCTACGATTCTGCCTGGTGTAGCCAGAACCAACAGTGTGTGCAAAATTACGGCTAAGTGTTGCATCGTGAGCAAGGAGACCCTGTTTCCTCTCTGCTCATCCATGAAATGCAAAGTGCCCTCAGGGTCACAAATGTGGGGCTAATCACACTGCTTCGCTCTCCTCCGGGTTTTTGCATGGATTGCTGAAACAATGTATGTGGTATGCTATGACTTAACAGCAGCCAAAGCTTAAGAAACATAGAATCATAGAATCATAGAGTTGGAAGGGACCACAAGGGCCATCGAGTCCAACCCCCTGCCAAGCAGGAAACACCATCAGAGCACTCCTGACATATGGTTGTCAAGCCTCTGCTTAAAGACCTCCAAAGAAGGAGACTCCACCACACTCCTTGGCAGCAAATTCCACTGTCAAACAGCTCTTACTGTCAGGAAGTTCTTCCTAATGTTTAGGTGGAATCTTCTTTCTTGTAGTTTGGATCCATTGCTCCGTGTCCGCTTCTCTGGAGCAGCAGAAAACAACCTTTCTCCCTCCTCTATGTGACATCCTTTTATATATTTGAACATGGCTATCATATCACCCCTTAACCTCCTCTTCTCCAGGCTAAACGTGCCCAGCTCCCTTAGCCGTTCCTCATAAGGCATCGTTTCCAGGCCTTTGACCATTTTGGTTGCCCTCCTCTGGACACGTTCCAGTTTGTCAGTGTCCTTCTTGAACTGTGGTGCCCAGAACTGGACACAGTACTCCAGGTGAGGTACTTTTAGCTTCAGGTCTCATAGTCAACACAGTGGTACCTTGGGCTAAGTACTTAATTTGTTCCGGAGGTCCGTTCTTAACCTGAAACTGTTCTTAACCTGAAGCACCACTTTAGCTAATGGGGCCTCCCGCTGCCGCCGCACAATTTCTGTTCTCATCCTGAAGCAAAGTTCTTAACTCGAGGTAATATTTCTGGGTTAGTGGAGTCTGTAACCAGAAGCGTCTGTAACCTGAAGTGTCTGTAACCCGAGGTACCACTGTAATGAATTTAGCGCTGCTCAAGGTGCCATGTGAGATGTGTGGCAATGGGACATTTCTCCTCAAGCCACATGAACCAGGAATACACAAAATGTCAATTTTTGCGGTGGGAGCATGTGGAAACAAGGGTGCCCTACAGCCAAGGCACTAGCCTTGACTTCTGCAACCTGGTGCACCCCAAGTGTTTTGGACTACAACTCCCATCAGGTAATTATTGGTCGGGGGGTGCAGACCAGGGTTGGCCATAGACAGAGGGGAGGTATTGGAGTCAGAGCCAGTAATGGGCAGAACTGGACAGGTCACCCCATTTATCTCTTTCAGCCACCCACTTCTCTCTCTCTCTCCCCTCTCTCTCCCTCTCTCTCCCACTTCTTTTCTCTCTTTCTCCCACATTCTCCCTTCTTTTCCAACCTTCCTTTCTCTCTCATTTCTGTCACCACCACCCCATCATAGAATCATAGAATTCTAGAATTGGAAGGGGCCTTGAGGGTCATCTAGTCCAACCCTCTGCAATGCTGGAATCTCAACTAAAACATCCATGACAGATGGCCACACAAACTCTGCTTTAAAACCTCCAAGGAAGGAGAGTGCACCACCTTCTAAAGGAGTGCATTCCAGAAGGTTCTTTCTCATGTTTAGTTGGAATCCATGTCACTTAAATCCATGGGTTCGAGTCCTACCCTCCGGAGCAGGAGAAAACAAGCTTGCTCCTCCTTCCATGTGACAGCCCTTCAGATATTTGAAGATGCCCATTACATCTCCTCTCAGTGTCCGCTTCTCCAAGTTAAGAACCCCCAACTCCCTCAACTGTTCCTCATAAGGCTTGGTTTCCAGACCCTTGATCCCGCTTGGACTACTGCAACGCGCTCTATGTGGGGCTACCTTTGAAGGTGACCCGGAAACTACAATTAATCCAGAATGCTGCAGCTAGACTGGTGACTGGGGGCGGTCGCCGAGACCACATAACACCGGTCTTGAAAGACCTACATTGGCTCCCAGTACGTTTCCGAGCACAATTCAAAGTGTTGGTGTTGACCTTTAAAGCCCTAAACGGCCTCGGCCCAGTATACCTGAAGGAGCGTCTCCACCCCCATCATTCTGCCCAAATGCTGAGGTCCAGCGCCGAGGGTCTTCTGGCGGTTCCCTCATTGCGAGAAGCAAAGCTACAGGGAACCAGGCAGAGGGCCTTCTCGGTAGTGGCGCCCGCCCTGTGGAACGCCCTCCCATCAGATGTCAAAGCGATAAATAACTACCTGACATTTAGAAGGCATCTTAAGGCAGCCCTGTTCAGGGAAGCTTTTAATCTGTGATATTTTACTGTATTTTTTGTTTCTATGGAAGCCGCCCAGAGTGGCTGGGGAAACCCAGCCAGATGGGCGGGGTACAAATAATAAATTATTATTATTATTATTATTATCGATCATCTTTGTTGCATGCATTACAGCTTATCTGTTAGATGGATTTAGATGAGTAGGCGAGGATATTTTATTTATTAATTATCCATCCTCTTTCTCTCGCATGTGAGAATGCCATTATTATTATTATTATTATTATTAATCAGTACATGGATACACAGTGTTTTCATCCCCACGGGCTAGGGAACAGTGGCTGGCCCAAGGCCATCTCATGAGTTTCAGGACGTCTGAACCCAGGTCCCCTCAGCCCTCGCCCAATAATTCCACTTCAGCAAAGTGGCATCGCTGCACCAAAGTCAACTTGCCTGGCCCAGTTCTGTTAAGAGGAATGCATTTAAAATCAGCCTTCTGAAATACGTTTTAATTCATCATTGTAATGAATTCTAATGATCTTCCGAGACATACTGAATTGCCTCGTTTTCGAGACCGTAATTCATAGATATCGACAGGTGAACAGCCAAGTAACTGCTATTAGACAAAATGTGGTGGTGGTTTCCTTTTTGCAGGGAAGGGGGTTTAGGGTTGGCCCTGCTATTAGATCGATTAAGGCAACTGCCTCAGGCAACATTGACTCAGGAGTAGCAGCAGCAGTTTCTGGCTGTTCCTTCTGGGTCCCCAGCTAGTCTCTGCTGTTTCCACATGGCCACTCCTGCCCCACTTAAAAATCTGACCTGCTGCCTCAGGCATGGTGGGGAATGTCACCAGTGTGGAAGTAAGATGTAATTCTATATGTGGAATTAGGGGATGGTCAAATTTTCTTCTGCCTCAGGTGGCAAAATGCCTTGGACTGGCCGTGGATGGCATCAAACAAAACTTCCTGGAGAACTCTTTGGAGAAAGACACAGGGCCTGGGACTTCACCTGCTTTTCGTAACCAAGCAAAAGTTGTCCATGTGGGAATGTTGAGGATAGTAAAGTAAAGGTAAAGGGACCCCTAACCATTAGGTTCAGTCATGACCGACTCTGGGGTTGCGGCGCTCATCTCGCTTTACTGGCCGAGGGAGCCGGCGTACAGCTTCCGGGTCATGTGGCCAGCATGATGAAGCCGCTTCTGGCGAACCAGAGCAGCGCACGGAAACGCCGTTTACCTTCCCGCTGGAGCGGTACCTATTTATTTACTTGTACTTTGACGTGCTTTCGAACTGCTAGGTTGGCAGGAGCAGGGACCGAGCAACGGGACCTCACCCCGTTGCGGGGATTCGAACCGCCGACCTTCTGACTGGCAAGTCCTAGGCTCTGTGGTTTAACCCACAGCGCCACCCGCGTCCCGTTGAGGATAGTAGGAGAGGATATATTGATTAAATATTATCCTTCCTCACTCATGCTAGTGAGTCATGTAGCACATTCCCTTGTACATTGCAGTAAGCTAGTGGATGGATTCGTGAGAATCATTTGAGTTAAGCAACCCAGATTGGATTGTTCCTGGTAAATCCCCTTTGGTTCCCTCTTAAAAACCATAGTGACACGACAGTCTTCCTTTAAAAGTAATGCTAAGGTTTACTTACATTCAGTTCACAGTATGGTCCTGAAGGCAGGCTTTATCTTGTAGTTACGGTTACAGAGAAAAGTGTGGGTTCATCTTCTGTGAGGGATGAGCCCTTGTGTTGCTGGCTGAGAGCCAGCAGACAGCAGACAGCAGACAGCAAAATGGAGAGAAGGGATCAATAGAGAGCAGCATAAGAGGAAGATGGCTGCGTGACTAGCCCCTTTATAGGGTCTGCTAGGGTCATGCCCATCTACCTGGTCACACGCAGGGGGAGTATACTCTAGACCAGGAAGTCCACTCTGGGCAAACAGGAAATGTTGTATTTGATTGCTTCAGTGATGTTACATCGCACAGTCAAAAGGTACCATGGGGCCAAGCTGCCACTGCCACTTCATATATTTCACCCAGTGCTTGGTTACAACTGACTTTGCCCTCATAGAGGATGGGGTCCTTTGATGACTGGGAGCAGTGAAGGTCATATTTCTGAGCAAGGAACCCCCCCCCATCTTGTACCCAAGACTTTAATGGAGGGGGCTCAGAAAAGCAGGTCAGAGTGAATTTTTGTAAGATACAGTGGTAATTCGGTTTAAGAATAGCCCTGTTTACGAACTCCCTGTTTATGAACTCTGCAAAACCGGAAGTAGTGTTCCGGTTAGTGAACTTTACCTTGGTCTACGAACAGAAGCCGAATGGTGGAAGGGTACTGGCGGTGGGAGGCCTCATTGGGGAATGTACGTTTCCGAGCACAATTCAAAGTGTTGGTGCTGACCTTGAAAGCCCTAAATGGCCTCGGCCCAGTAGACCTGAAGGAGCGTCTCCACTCCCATCATTCTGCTCAGATACTGAGGTCCAGTGCCAAGGGCCTTCCATCCAGTTGGGAGGCCGGTATTATTGTCTCCTTTAAAAACAAATCTAAATTTCAGATAGGGTCCTGTAGAAATTGCTGAGCTATTTGGACCAATGGTCTGACTCAGTGTAAGAGATCATGAACACTGGTAACCAGTGTAGATCTTCAAATGGAGGAGAAATGTGACCATTGCAGTGGGTCCTTGCTGGCAACTTCGCCACCATATTTAATCCTGACAATAATAGCTTTAGAAGGTAGGCTAGTATCCTTGTCTCTATATTTTAGATAGGGTGGGACAGGGGCTAGATGAAGAGCCCCCTACAACAGGGGGCAGCAAACTTTTTCAGCAGGGGGCTGATCCACTGTCCCTCAGACCTTGTGGGGGGCTGGACGATATTTTGGAAAAATAATAATGAATGAATTCCTATGCCCCACAAATAACCCAGAGATACATTTTAAATAAAAGGACACATTCTACTCATGTAAAAACACACTGATTCCCGGACAGTCCATGGGCCGCGTTTAGAAGGCGATTGGGCCAGATCCGGCCCCGGGGCCTTAGGTTGCCTACCCCTGTCCTAGAAGGTTCATGCTCTGTGCACCCTGGGACTGTGAGTGTGGCTGGCTTTAAGCCAGGAAAATCTGCTCAAGCCACTATTGCAGCACCTTCAGTTTGGCATCTCTCAGCGCACAAGAAAGTAGACCATACAGGGCATCAAGCAAAGATTGCCAGGGGGATTGCTCAGCAGTCGAGGAAGTGTGAAAGGAAATGTTGGCGCCTAAGCTTTGCACGTTGCTTGTTGCAAAGGAACCACACTCCAGGAAATTATTTCACTTCTTTTTCTGGTCGTCTCACCTCCCAAAGGATCTTGTAGAGTTGGGAAAAGGCTTGCAAGATGGAGATGGAGATGGAGATGGAGATGGAGATGGAGATGGAGATGGAGATGGAGATGGAGATGGAGAAACTCCACTCTGAGAAAAGGTTGCAGCATTTATTGGGACCTTTTAGTTTAGAGAAAAGGAGTAGAATTTCTTCTCCCTCTTTAACTGCATTAGAAGTCCTGGATTTAGAGATCCCACTAGACAAGAGTTTCAAAAAGCATGGGGGAAATGCAGAGAATACTTCACAAAACAGTGCCCTAAAATACATACCCGGACTTGTTTCGATTAATGTCTGCAGGAGACTTTGTTGATATTTAAGTTATAATTAGAAAAATCTTAATAATTATTCATCAAGGAAACAGCTTATAAGCAGTAAATAAGGAGGGCAGATACAGGATAAAGGAAGTCTTTTATTTGGTTGTTTGTATTGTTGTATGTTATGTTTATTGTATTTCTGTACTGGGGGTTGGGGGAGGTTTACATTACGTTGTAAATAAAATTTCCAATAAAAATTAAAAAATAATAATAGAAGTCCTGGATTTGGGGGGGGGGGGACTGGGATAGAAACAACAACAAATTTTTTTTTTTAAAAAAATAAGAGACAGCAAACATGCACTCCCACAATTCAGAGGGGGGAGTGGCAGTGGCAGCCCCCCACAGCTGCCAATCAGGTGTGAGGCTGGTTCCTTTGGCATGCCTTTGGCTCTGTGGACTTCCTGTGCTTGTGTGCGTCCTCCTGGCAAGGATGGAGGGGGAAATGGATACTGTTTGCATTTTAATGAGAAACAATCCAATGTGCACTTTTCAAAACGATACCCAAATTGAAATCCAGTCTCCCCTTCAAAATTCACGCTTCTCTGAATTTTGCAATGTAATTCTACAACCAGGCAATACATACAAAAATGTATATATGGCAGGAAAAGTCACCAACAGGCCCCAGGGTGGGTGACAACAATTTAAAATTGGGAAGTAAAAGCAGTTAAAACAAATTACAGTCACAGAAATAGGGTGAAAACAAGAGGTTGGATGCATTCTTTTAGAGGAAATTGCATGCAAAAATATGCATATTAGTCAAAACTTCACACCAAAATGTGTTTATCAGGGGGACATCTGCATTAAAATACTGATGAACTTGTCAGGTGATGGTGATGGTGGCTCGAGAGCAAACAGGCAAGACTCCGACCTGTCTTTTCCAAGCATTATTCTTAGTGCAAACTATTTACAGTGAAGAGCGTTGCAAGTTCATGTCTGGCTCAGTCGCTAGCAGAATCTGGGAGTGGTTGGTCTTTGTACCTCCCCCAGCATAACAATCGCATGACCCCCAGCCTTCTCCTCCCCTCTCTGCGCCGAAACCTACTGCGCAGAGTGGGTGCTGGCAAAGGGGTACTTCCCTCCCCTCCGCTTTGCTCAGGCTCAGTGTTGAGGCTCTCCCTAGCATCTCCTGGTCCCTGCACCTCCTCCCCATTGGAGGCGGGGCTTTCCTCCTTGCCAGAGGAGGAACTGCTTTGCAAGATCTTCGGAGGTTCCCTATAACACAACTGCCCTTCCGCCTCTGAGCTGATGTCAGTTCCCTGACAGAACTTTTATAGGGTTCTTTTTTAAATTGCAAATTGTTGCAGAAATGTGGAGAAATGAATTTAAATCAGCTTCATCCAACCCTAACTCAAGGAATGGTTGAGGGGGTTGGGGATGTTTAGCCTAGAGAAGAGAAGACTGAGAGGCGATTTGAGAGCCGTCTTCAAATATCTGAAGGGCTATCACACTAGAAGATGGAGCAATATTGTTTTCTCCTGCTCTGGAGGGTAGGACCCCAGCCAATGGATTCAAATGTCAAGAAAGGAAATCCTTATTAAACATGTGGAAGACCTTTCTGACGGCAAGAGCCATTCGACAGTGGAATGGACTTCTTTGGACGGTGGTGAACTCTCCTTCACTGGAGGTTTTTAAACAGAGCTTCCTTAGCTGTGATTCCTGCATTGCAGGGGTTGGACTCTGTTGTTGTTGTTTAGTCATTTAGTCGTGTCCAACTCTTCGTGATCCCCTGGACCAGAGCACACCAGGCACTCCTGTCTTCCACTGCCTCCCGTAGTTTGGTCAGACTCATGCTGGTAGCTTCGAGAACATTGTCCAACCATCTCGTCCTCTGTCGTCCCCTTCTCCCCTTTCAAGGGAGTCTTCTCTTCTCATGAGGTGGCCAAAGTCTTGGAGCCTCAGCTTCAGGATCTGTCCTTCCGGTGAGCACTCAGGGCTGATTTCCTTCAGAATGGATCGGTTGGATCTTCTTGCAGTCCATGGGACTCTCCAGAGTCTCCTCCAGCACCAGGATTCAAAAGCATCAATTCTTTGGCGATCAGCCTTCTTTATGGTCCAGCTCTCACTTCCATACATCACGACTGGGAAAACCATAGCTTTAACTATACGGACCTTTGTTGGCAAGGTGATGTCTCTGCTTTTTAAGATGCTGTCTAGGTTTGTCATTGATCCTTCATGGATCACTGCCCCTTCATGGATCACTGCCTTGCCGTGGTGAAGGGAAGCTATGAGCTATGCCATGCAGGGCCACCCAAGATGGACAGGTCATAGTGGAGAGTTTTGACCAAACGTGAACCACCTGGAGGAGGAACCGGCAAGCCACTCCAGTATCCCTGCCAAGAAAACACCATGGACAAAGACACCAGGTTGGACTCTACAATTCCATTATTCTTAGCAGCCATGGAGTTTTCTAGAGCATCTCCTTGACTTCACAGGTGGTTGTGGGATCAGGGGAATGAAGAAGGACCTTCATTGCAGCTTTCTTCGCCACTGCATTTCTGCCATCTCCTGCTCCCTCCCTCGCTTTCCTCTTTCTCCCTCTCCGCTTCTCAACAAGCGCAGCCCTCCTGAGCTCAGGAGGCAGAAAAGAACCTGCCTGACAAGACACAAACTGCTCTGCCAGCTCTCCAGTGTCATCCAGGCCGCCTCAGGGCAAAAGGGCGCTGGGTGCAACACGGCTTGCCACGCATGAGCTTCTTCTCCCAGTGGCCTCCTCAGCCAAGCTGTCAAAATATTTACCCAACATGGGACGCAGCCTGAAAGAAACCTTGCTCCCCTCTCCCTTGCCTGGGAAGGTGATTTTTGCCTGCGGTCAGATCTCAGTTCTGTGAAGCATCCTTGCAAGAACAGAAAGGAGAGTTTGGCAAAGCACAGAACAGAAAGGAGAGGTGATAGGCGACTTCAGCAGCAGGCGAGGGGGCTGCTGATCTTGGCTTGTGCAATCTTTCAGGTCCTGTGGGTGCCTTTGGATACCTACCTTTGGAGTCTGCAGTGGTAAAGCCCAGATACAAGTTTAATGCCTCCATGACAATGAGGCCTCCAACACCGGTGAATCCCAATTCTTCTCAAATTCTTATTTCCACACTTCGATACAGGTTGTGTTCATGGGATTTTGTTGCCTTCCTCTCTTAAATCACTAGAGATTTGGGGCCTGGGAGGTGGAGTGATGCTAGAGGAGGTAATTTGTAGCAATTAGCACCTGGCTACAGTCATTCCAAGGACAGGGACGTGGTTGGCGCTGTGGGTTAAACCATAGAGCCTAGGACTTGCCGATCAGAAGATCGGCGGTTCAAATCCCCGCGACGGGGTGAGCTCCCGTTGCTTGGTCCCTGCTCCTGCCCACCTAGCTGTCTGAAAGCACACCAGTGCATGTAGATAAATAGGTACCGCTCCAGTGGGAAGGTAAACGGCGTTTCTGTGCGCTGCTCTGGTTCGCCAGAAGCGGCTTAGTCATGCTGGCCACATGACCCGGAAGCTGTATGCCGGCTCCCTCGGCCAATAAAGCAAGATGAGTGCCACAACCCCAGAGTCGGTCACGACTGGACCTAATGGTCAGGGGTCCGTTTACCTTTACAGTCATTCCACAAACAATTGATGGGTCATGGCTGTCATCTTGTGACGTGTGGCAATGAAGGCAGCCAAAGCAATTGGTGTCAATGCAGAAACGCTGCATCAACGATGGCACACGTTTCCACTATCAAGAAGGTGGCACGTCCATGGCTTGCAGTGAGCAGAGCCCACCTACTCTGCTCTGCACTTTCTATAATGTCCCAAGTGGTGGGGGAGGGCAGGGCAGAGGGGATTCCAGCCCCGCAGTGCAAGTTAAACCAAGCGGTAATGTGGGGGGGGGTGGAACGTGGTGGTGAGGTCAGCGTGGTGCAAACACAGCAGCGGTGCAATCCGGTGCACCCAACCTTGCTACCACCTTGCCCCTCCCAGTCTACCTCCCAGTTAAGAGTGATGCAACCAAGCAAAACTCAGGGGCCACGGCCAGCCCACCGCATGGTTGGCTAACGCTAGTCACCGGCCAAATAGTTGACCTAAACTTCAGCCGTTTCATGAAAGGAGCCGTATTATGCAAAACACGCCCCGGAGAAATGGAATGGCTCAGGTTCACTGTCCAATCTAGCAGTAGAAGAAAAGGACTTAATGGCATGAGGGAGACGACCATGGGGCCCTGGTGGTGGTGCAGCTGGAGGCCAAGAGAGCATCTTTGGCTAAGCAGATGTTGCTTCTTTGATGCATGTAGTCAAAGAGAGAGAGGTGGCTGCCCTGCCCTGCGCTTTTGTCGTTACCTGCACAAGTGAGGCCACGACCACCTCTAGTCACATGCAGAGGAAGTCTGTCCCAGCCCAGAAGGAAACAGGAAGTTTACCTGCTGGCTGGACAAACCTTCCTCCCCATGTGTAAAGATGTTCACTCTAGGAATGTTGTACTTGACTGCTCTTGTGTTTCACATCCCACAAAGACCATCCAAACGCTTGTTTGAAACCTCCAACAAAGAAAAGTCCCCAACCTCTTACTGTCAGAAAGTTCTTCCTGATGTTGAGTCCAAATCTCCTTTCTTGCAACTTGAAGCCATTGGTTCAAGTCCTATCCAGAGCAGGAGAAAACAAGATTGCTCCATCTTCCATGTGGCAGCCCTTTCGATATTTGAAGAAGGCTGTTGTATCTCTCCTCAGTGTCCTCTTTTCCAGGCTAAACATACCCAGCTCCTTCAACCTTTCCTCATAAGGCTTGGTTTCCAGACTGTGGATCATCTTGGTCCCCTTCCTCTGCACACCTTCCAGTTTGTGAACATCCTTCTTAAATTGTGGTGCCCAGAACTGGACACAGGACTCCAGAGTAATCTTATGCAGTCAACATTTCACCAGCTTCTCCACAAGAATATTATGGGGGGACTTTGTCAAAAGCCCTGACTATTGGCCATGTTACCTGGGGATGATGGCAGTTGGAGTCCCAATATCAGGGAGAGTGACATGGGTTCACCACCCCTATTATAGAGATTCCCGTGAGCCTAGAATCTATTTAAAGCAAGGCTGCTCTTGAGATGGAAGACCAAACCTGTAGGGAAACCCAAAAGTCACCAAATCTAGCAGCCGCCCTCACTGAGACATCTGCCAAACAAATTACTGACAGATGAAACAAGGCATTAATTTCTCAGATTTACAAGGGCATGCATGAAGTCTTTCCTTGTGAGGAGTCCCCATTGTGCGCCTGGAAGGGAAGGATGTAAACAGAACCATGCGCTACATCAAAAAATGTTTCAAACTGCTGAAGGAAAACCACCAGCCATTTGTCACCCATGGGAAATTGCATTGTTCAACACTGGGAGTTTGCGCCTTGTGAGAAATCATGCTCAGAGACAAAACATGGGGAGATTCTTCCCAAAATATGCATATACATATGCTTCACAGGTAGAAGCTTCAGGGTTCAATCCCGTGTATCTCCGAATCAGGATCTGAGCCCAGGAGCCCTCTTGCCTTTCTGTGCATTCCAGCAACTGGTATTCAGAAACATTGCAAAGCCATCCTAGATAGTAACCCTCAGTAGATCTCTCCTCCATGAATTTGTCTAATCCTCTTTTAAAGCCATTCATATTGGTGGACATCCCTGCCTCCTGTGGCAGGGAGTTCCATAGTTCAACAATGTGCTGCGGGAAGAGATACTTCTTTGTATCTTTCCTGAATCTCCCAACATGAAGGGCTCTTTCACACTTCCCTTTGTCCCACAATTTCATCTGTTCATCCCTAGGCATGGGTCTGAGAGATCTTTCTTTTGTCCTCCCACTTTTCCCAGTGTTGGTGCTGACCTTTAAAGCCCTAAATGGCCTCAGCCCAGTATACCTGAAGGAGCGTCTCCACCCCCATCATTCTGCCCAGACACTGAGGTCCAGCTCTGAGGGCCTTCTGGCGGTTCCCTCCCTGCGAGAAGCCAAGTTACAGGGAACCAGGCAGAGGGCCTTCTTGGTGGTGGCACCTGCCCTGTGGAACGCCCTCCCCTCAGATGAAACAAAATTTAAAAAATCCTTCCAGTAGCATCTTGGAGACCAATTGAGTTTGTTATTGGTATGAGCTTTCATGTGTGCATGCAATGGAAGGAATTTTTTTATTTTGTTTCGACTACGGCAGACCAACACGGCTACCTACCTCCCCTCAGAGTCTGTCTAGTCTAGTCTAGTCTTAGGTGAAAGGGGTCAGGAATGCTGTTCAAAGATACTGAATCTACCAGCTGTTTCTCTCTTGATGTTTCCTCTTCTAACTGTTCCTCACCCAGTATTTCCCAGCTTCTCCCTTCTAGACCATGTCCCTCTGCAAACAACTGTTCTAAATCAATACTATCCTCCTGCCTTTGGGGAAGTTCAGGAGAAGGGGACGGGGCTCCCACCATTGCATTCCGTTCCTCTGGGCCCATAACCAAAAATGTCGGAATCTCCGCTACGACCGAGCTACTCCTCTGGTCGAGTCCTCTGGAATCGCCTCCGATGATGATTTACGACCTTAGCCTCTGATAAGGCTCCAGAGTAACGCAGAATATCCAGCAGCAGGGAAGGAGCTGAGAAATATGAGCTACATTGCAAAGACCGTTTTATTTCTAACTACGCCGACAGAAAAGAAACATAAATGCTCTCTCTGTGAAAGCAGAGAGCAACTGGAAAAACAAAGGAACAGGAAACCAGTAACGTCACATCCATCTTCCGTGAGACTTCCAACAGCCTGGAATCTCTGGAATGCAAAACAGATTCTTGTGACTCCAAGCACTGAACAGTGGCATAAACAGAAACCAACACATTCCTCCTCGGTCCCTGACAGCCTGTGAATACTGTATTTTTCGCTCTGTAAGACACACTTTTTCCCCTTCAAAAATTAAGGGGAAATGTGTGTGCGTCTTATGGAGCGAATGCAGGCTCCTTGGCTTCAGCGATAGCAACGTGAAGCCTCCGAAGCGCAGAGGGAGAGCTCCCCCCGTGCTCCAGAGTCTTCGTGTTGCTTTCGCTGAAGCCTCCTGAAGCCCCCGGAGCACAGCGCGAACTCCAGCTGCGCTCCGGGGGCTTCAGGCAGCTATCCCCAAGCCTTTGGAGTGCAGCAGGAGTTCCCACTGCACTCTGAAGGCTTGCGGATAGCCGCCTGAAGCCTGGAGAGTGAGAGGGGTCGGTGCACACCGATCCCTCTTGCTCTCCAGGCTTTGCTTTGCTTCGCTGGAGAGGCGCTGCACAGTTTTCCCTCTCTGCGCAGCGCCCCTTCAGCGAAGCGGGAGGAGAAATGGAAGGGGCTCTGTTTCTCCTGCCGCTTCACTGAATGGGCGCTGAGCAGAGAGGGGGAGAATTATTTTTTCCCTGTTCTCCCCCTCCTATGGTCTGGTGCATCCTATAGAGCGAAAAATACGATACTTCCTATACCATCTTCTCCTTCCCTATCCCCAGCTTGCCTCCCAGTCCCAGCCACACCCCTTGCCAGGATCCTATTCCACCGCTTCCTCCTTCTCCCTGTCGTCCTGCCAGTTCATGACCGCAAGCCAGAGTGGTGTAGTGGTTAGAGAGTCAGCCTAGGACCCGGGGGAAAGCAGGGTTCAAATCCCCACTTGGCCATGAATCTCATTGGGTGGCCCAACTTACCTCACCGGGTTGTTGTGGGGATAAGCTGGGGGGCGGGGAAAGAACCATATAATCCGCCTTGAGCTCCCTGGAGAAAAAGATAGGATATAAACGCAATAAAAACCAAAGGCAGAAATGAACAGGTAGGAGATGTACCATCACATCCCAAAACACAAAAATTGAGACTGTGGGTTTTTATTCTCTTTCAAGTGTGGAAAGAGCATCGCTCATATGGAGGAGAAATCAATACCCTCCTCTGTGGAACAAATTAAAATGCCCTGTTCATCGTCATCCACCCTCTGCTTCCCATTCGAATCCAGAGTCAGGGTCCTTTAGCTGCTTCTGTATTTGGCTAATCCTTCTCTGTCTGCTTTCTCTCTCTCTCTCTGCCTCTTCTTTCCCTTCCTCCTCTCTCTGCTCCCCCCTCTCCCTTCACTCCCTCCCCAGAGGTGCCTTCCTTCGCTCTGCTCCAGTAATCTCATTTCTCCCCGAAGCAACACTTTGGCTTTCCAACCACAAAAGATGGCCTGCTAATTACAATCTGGGCGGCCTTCTCCAGAACCGAAAGACACACACACACACACACACACACACACACACACAGAGTCCTTCCTACTCCAAGGTCATCTGAGCACAAGCCTTCTTTTGCAGAAGCTGCCAGCCCCACTACCCCACCCCCCAGAGTGCTGGAATCCTTAATGGGTTGCAAAAGGCCAAAAGGAGGAGGGTTGGGCGGCTTAGACAGATCCCCTGTGCAATTTCCACAAATCAAGCATCCCAGCAAGCCGCAAGCCCACCCAGCCCTTGCCTTCTCCGGAGCAGCTGTCTGAAAGAACCTCTGATAATCCTCCAGCAGGCTGAGCCATTGAGCGAAAGCCTCTTGGGATGAATGGGGAAGGGATTGCAAATGTTACAGGGGTTGACGTCATGCCTGGTGTGCAATCTCCAGGAAATAATGTACTTTTCTCTCCCTCCCCCCCCCCCCTCGTACATTGTGGAGGCATCCTGGCCTTCAACCTTCCCATTACTTATTTAATTCCGCCGGGGAGTTTCCTGGCTGCGGATTCGAGAGGCTTTCTGGTGTCGAACATAAGAATGTAACATGAGCTTTAGCCCATCTAGTCCAACATCCTGTTCTCCCCCCCACAATTTTTATTAAATTTTCTGTTTTACCATTTAAAATACTCATTTTTACATCCTTAAGATACCAGTGACTTCCCTTCTTCTCTTTCCGTGGTTCATTTTACAAAACATAAATCCCTGCATATTTTATATAAACTAGACCAGGCATGTCCAACAGGTAGATCACGATCTACTGGTAGATCACTGGACGTCTGTGGTAGATCATCTTTGCCCTGCACCCCCAAAAAGGGAGTAGATCACTGCCACTTTTTAACTCTGTGAGTAGATCGCAGTCTCGTGGGAGTTGGCCACCCCAAACTAGACCATTCAGTATTCCATTATTACATCCATCAAAACTTATAAACACTGCTGAATTTATCTTAATGCTGCCCATGTTTTCAAATGAACGTAATTTTCCTCCATATATTCAACAAACATTTTCCAGTCTTCTTTAAACGTATGTTCTTTTTGCTGTCTTAGTCTATATGCTAGGTCTGCAAGCTGTGCATAGTCCATCAATTTAAGTTGCCATTCTGTTCTTAGGTAAAGGTAAAGGGACCCCTGACCATCACATCCAGTCATGGCCGACTCTGGTGTTGCGGCGCTCATCTCGCTTTATTGGCCGAGGGAGCCGGTATACAGCTTCCGGGTCATGTGGCCAGTAGGACTAAGCCGCTTCCGAGCAGCGCACGGAAACACCGTTTACCTTCCCGCCCAAGCGGTACCTATTTATCTACTTGCACTTTGACGTGCGCTTTTGAACTGCTAGGTTGGCAGGAGCAGGGGCCGAGCAACGGGAGCTCACCCTGTCGCAGGGATTCGAACCGCCTACCTTCTGATCGGCAAGTCCTAGGCCTTGTGGTTTAACCCACAGCGCCACCCACGTCCCTTGTTCTGTTCTTACAGTGGTCAAAAATGCCTGTGGGAAACCTGCTAGCAGGACCCCAGTATTCTCCCCTCTCATGGTCTCTCATGGTATGCCTTTGTAGTTTAAGTGTGTGAATAGTTCCTTTTATCTGTCCTGAATCTTCAAACATCCAGCGTTGTTGGACGTCCACAAGATTGAGTGTTGGATCCTTGCACAGGTGTGTGGCCTCACCTGTACGGTCTTTTTCTGGAAGCAACACATGACTTGGATTTAGCCCCAAAATGAGCATGATAAGGAGCTCCTTGAAAGTGCATCTGGTTTGACAGTTGCCAGGTGAACCTTGACACTCTTGTTTACATGTTAGGAACACGAGTGGCTGTCTCATACTGAGTTAGAGCACCGGTCCATCTAGCTCAGTATGGTCACAAAGCCCGTGGAGGCATCTTGGAGAGAGTGGTTGGAAGGGGAGAAGGTGTAGGGAATGGAGACGTGGACCCCGGGGAGAAACTCATCAGGCTGGGACCTGTCAACTCAGATCCTGGAGAGTGGCAGAGTGGACCATCAGGCAGAAATCCACATTGGGCATCAGGCATGAGAAAAACCAAACACAACAAATGCTCTTTCTGGTAAATTCCAGCCTGGAGCTTATAGGCTAGGGCATGGGTAGGCAAACTAAGGCCCAGGGGCCGGATCTGGCCCAATCGCCTTCTAAATCAGCCTGTTTTTACATGAGTAGAACGTGTGCTTTTATTTAAAATGCATCTCTGGGTTATTTGTGGGGCATAGGAATTTGTTCATTTCCGCCCCCAAAATATAGTCCGGCCCCCCACAAGGTCTGAGGGACAGTGGACCGGACCCCTGCTCAAAAAGTTTGCTGACCCCTGGGCTAGGGGATCCTTCCAGTGTGTCTTTTGTAGCATGTCCTGGACACAATAATAGTGGATTAGTGGTGGTGTGCTGGTCCCATGGGTTACCCGAGAGGCGAGGTCCAAGTCCGGTCCGTGATCAAAGGTACAATGGGGTGGCAGTCCGTAGTAGCTGAAGCTGGGTGCAAGGCAGGGAGGCGGGTGAAGTCAGGAACAGGCATGCAAGCAGGGAGCCAGGGCAGGTCAGGAGCTCAGGCAGGTAAGCAGGACAGGGCCCAGGCAGGAACTAGCAACCAACAATGTTCCTCCTGCAACTTGGGACTGGGGCTGACCAACTTTTATCTTCCCCGAGGCACAGGGTGGCCCCGATCCTCAGGTGACTCGCCTCTCCTGGCCTGGAGCTGAGCACTCCTCCTGCGAGAACTTAGTTCCCTCCGCCTCTCTGCCCTGAGCCTCTGCAGCTCAGGAGAGGCTGAAGGGTTACCGGACCCAGAGGCAACCTCCACTTCCTCTGATGGGGCTGAGAGTGGAGCACCTGCAGGCAATGGGTCCTCCATCACCTCAGGAGCCAGAGCAGACTCAGCTGGTGCCTGAACCTGAGGATCCAGCACAGGTGAGGACCCTTCAGGCTCATGCCCCAGCCCCGGCTCAGCCGGTTCTGGAGGCAGGGAATCCTGTGCAGGCTGGGATCCCTCAGGTTCAGCATCCGAGTCCAAATCCCAGGCCATCACAGGTGGATTTATACCGGACCATCCACACATTGTTCTGTTTTTTTGGTTGGTCTGTGATGATCTTCCAAAGCTATTCCATCACCACCATCTGTAGGGACTGTCTAGAGCTATAGGATTTCAGTGGGGATTTATGGGTTTTTGTAGATTATTTGGAAATGAAGCTGTATGCCCATCCTGAAACTTCTGCAGGCACAAACATGATTTAAAGCAGGATCGCCTATAACCACCCAGATATAACTGTGAGCGCAAATAATCAGGAATGGATGATAAGCGGTATGCCTGGAGAGTCACTTAGTCACAAGGAAGAGGGCGTAGCTTTGCATCCTAAATCTTGAGCATAAATAAGAGTCATAGAGTTGGAAGGGACTCCAATGACATCTATTTGACCCAGTTCTATGATTTTATGATCTAGTTCCTGCGATGCAGGAATCACAACTAAAGAATCCCTGATGGACGGCCATCCAGCCTCTACCTTGTTTCAGGAAGTTTTTTTATGTTTCACGTTTTAGTATCTTTTGATATATGCTAGGAGCCACCCAGAGTGGCTAGGGAAACCCAGCCAGATAGGTGGGGTGTAAAGGTAAAGGTAAAGGTAAAGGACCCCTGACAGTTAAGTCCAGTTGTGGACGACTCTGGGGTTGCGCGCTCATCTCGCCGAAGGACCTGGCGTTTGTCCACAGACAGCTTCCAGGTCATGTGGCCAGGTCTGGCGAACCAGAGCAGCGCACGGAAACACCGTTTACCTTCCCGCCAGAGCAGTACCTATTTATTTACTTGCACTGGTGTGCTTTCGAACTTCTTGGTGGGCAGGAGCAGGGACCGAACAACGGGAGCTCACCCTGTCGTGGGGATTCGAACCGCTGACCTTCTGATCGGCAAGCCTTAGTAGGCTCTGTGGTTTAGACCACAGCACCACCCGCCACCCCGGTGGGGTATAAATAATAAAATTAACAACAACAACAACAATAATTGAAAAACCTCGGATGAAGGAGAGTCCACCACCTTCTGAAGGAGTTTTTTCCGCTTTGAACAGTTCTTGTTGTCAGAAAGCTCTTCCTAATGTTTAGCTGAAATCTCCTTTCTCGTCATTTGAATCCATTGGTTTGCATCCTGTGCTTTTCGGTGGAGCAGAAAACAAGCTTGCTCCATCTCCCCTTCAGATATTTGAAGATGCCTATCATATCTCCTCTTAGTCTCCTCTTCTCCATGCTAGAAGAAGAGGAAGAAGAGTTTGGATTTGATATCCCGCCTTTCACTCCCTTTAAGGAGTCTCAAAGCGGCTAACATTCTCCTTTCCCTTCCTTCCCCACAACAAACACTCTGTGAGGTGAGTGGGGCTGAGAGACTTCAGAGAAGTGTGACTGGCCCAAGGTCACCCAGCAGCTGCATGTGGAGGAGCGGAGACGCGAACCCGGTTCCCCAGATTACGAGACTACCACTCTTAACCACTACACCACACTGGCTCTCTTAACCACTACACCACACTGGCTAAGCCAAACTCCCTCAGCCGTTCCTCATAACTTGGATTCCAGACCCTTTCTCCTTTGGCTGCCCTCCTCTGCACACCTCCCAGCTTGTCAACACCCTCTTTAAATTGTGGTATGCAGAATTAGAAACAGTATTCCAGGTGTGGCCTGACCAAAGCAGAATAGAATGGGATTATTACTTCCTTTGATCTGGACGCTAGACCTCTGCTGATGCAGCCTAGAACATCATTAGCTAAATAGGACTTTACATTTGCTGAGAATGCCCTCTCTCTTTCTGAAATCTAAATGGCAGAGTGGTGTCACCTGTATCTCGTTTGTGTATTTCTTGATTGTGTCTAGTTTTGTATTCCTTGGAAAATCTTCACCCTGAAGCTTCTTGGCAGTGCCCCCACCCTGTGTTTTTCCATGCTACTTGAGAGAGGGGGGAACTGAGTGGGAGCAGGGCTGATGAGTGGCGTCATTTTAATTAGAGAACCCTCCGTTGATTAGCTCTCCAGCTTAATGATCTTGCTGCTATAAATTACCCAGAAAAGAATTGACAAAGGATTGCATTAGGTTCCCCCCCCCCTTTAGAGAGGGAACTGTAAGGTCGTTTTCCACTTCGTTAAGCCTGGGTGCCCTTCCCCCTTCTCATCCCTGATCTATCCTAGGACACCAGCTCCTTTTCCAAGATTGAAGTCGTGGGAGAGGAGAAAAGCGCTTTAACCTAGACGAATTTCCGGTCACTGCACACTGGTGATCTTTGTTCTTCCTCCAAAATCTGTTAATGCAAGCGGAAAAGAGACGGGGTGTGCAGAAAACTCTATCAGGACATAAGAACGTAAGATTTAGCGTAAATAGTAAGCTGCTTTGTGCAGAGCCAGAGCATTGGTCCCGCTAGCTCAGTATGTCTACACGGACGGGCAGGTTCTCTTCAAGTCCTACCTGAAGGAGCGTCTCCATCCCCATCATTCTACCCAGACACTGAGGTCCAGTGCTGAGGGCCTTCTGGCGGTTCCCTTGCTGCGAGAAGCCAAGTTACAGGGAACCAGGGCCTTCTCGGTGGTGGTGCCCGCCTTGGGAAGGTAAACGGTGTTTCCGTGCGCTGCTCTGGTTCACCAGAAGCGGCTTAGTCATGCTGGCCACATGACCCGGAAGCTGTACGCCGGCTCCCTCGGCCAATAAAGCGAGATGAGGACCGCAACCCCAGAGTCGGCCACGACTGGACCTAATGGTCAGGGGTCCCTTTACCTTTTCCCCAACTCTCTGATTCTATAGAACAAGGCAGGTTCTTATGTTCCAATGTTCCAGGAACCTTCTGCATACAAAGCAGACGCTTCCCCACCAAGCTTTTCCCTTCCCCTTGCTTTTGTGCTACCATCCATTTGCCTCTGAATTCCTGGCATAAATCTTCCAGTGGTTCCTTGTCACTGAAAAAGCCTCCATGTCTGCATTGATGCACCAGCCGTGCAGTGAATTCAGGGCACCCTATTTACATAATGTGGAAGCAATTGATTGCAAGGAGGTGATGAGTAATTGTCTCAACAGCCCGGGCTCCATTTACTGTTTCCTCGCCTGCCGCTACAGCAATCAAACTGCCGCCTGATGGAGCTTTTTCCACTGAGAGCATGCGAAAGATCAGGAAGGAAATTCTTCCTCCAGTGCCTTTGCCTTCTGCTTCCCAGGAAACTCCACAAATGGCCTGCCCTGGAAAGGGGCTGGGTCAGGGGTGGTGGTGTAGCAGGGACCCTTTTAAAAACCAGAGGCCTCTGGCTGCGATTGCATCTGTCCCTGGGGCCAAAAATGCACCTTTGCCCTGAATCACAGAGCACATGACTAACAGGAGCTGTCAAGAAGAATATTGACCATCAAGAAGGATGCTGTCCCTTTAAGAATCAGAGAAGGAAGAAGCGCTGGTCCACAGAGCTAGGAAAAGATAAGGAATAATTGATGACTCCTGATTCCCTTTCCCTTTTAGAAATACCGCTATCTATTTGCAATGGTTGACAGCATCTTAAAAAGCAGAGACATCACCTTGCCAACAAAGGTCCGTATAGTTAAAGCTATGGTTTTCCCAGTCGTGATGTATGGAAGTGAGAGCTGGACCATCAAGAAGGCTGATCGCCAAAGATTTGATGCTTTTGAATTCTGGTGCTGGAGGAGACTCTTGAGAGTCCCATGGACTGCAAGAAGATCAAACCTCTCCATTCTGAAGGAAATCAGCCCTGAGGCTCACTGGAAGGACAGATCCTGAAGCTGAGGCTCCAGTACTTGGGCCACCTCATGAGAAGAGAAGACTCCCTGGAAAAGACCCTGATGTTGGGAAAGATGGAGGGCACAAGGAGAAGGGGACGACAGAGGACGAGATGGTTGGACAGTGTTCTCGAAGCTACCAGCATGAGTTTGACCAAACTGCGGAAGGCAGTGGAAGACAGGAGTGCCTGGCGTGCTCTGGTCCAGGGGGTCACGAAGAGTCGGACACGACTAAACAACAACAACAATTTGCAATGGTTAAATCCATCATGTCTGCATGTGAGGGGGCACATTTGGGGTTGAGTTTCTTTTTCAGGGAGGGGTTGAGGCCAGTGTCAAATCTAGCTAGATGTCCCTTTCCTGGGCTGAAGACTACTATACTATGTCACTTCTGCTAGTGGTGTCTTTGAAGATAGAAACATCTCAGCCTCTATGTTTTCTTCTACAGGCCCTTCCTCTGCACAGAAAGAAATCTGCTTTTTGCAATATGCCCTCACCATGTAGTGTATCTAAGTACGTGCAGAGTGCATTTTTCTCGCCTCAGGCTGCAGTAAATCCACATAAGGGGGGGGGGAGCGACTATGAGCAGTGTCTCTTCTGTAATACTGCCTTTTTCTTTTTTCTTTTGGTAAGTGGGGAAATAGTGAAAACCCCCAGCCACTTAATTTTGTTCTGGCTTTACAATCCTGCTATCCTGGTGACTTGAGCATTCTGAGCGGGCTGGTAAAATTCTGGCTGGATATATGAGCAGGAACCCCACTGGGAAGGAGCGCAGTGGATTGTAATGGGTTGTAGGATCTGAATTACAGTATTTTTTGCTCTATAAGACTCACTTTTTCCCTCCTAAAAAGTAAGGGGAAATGTGTGTACGTCTTATGGAGCGAATGCAGGCTGCGCAGCTGTCCCAGAAGCCAGAACAGCAAGAGGGATTGCTGCTTTCACTGCACAGCGATCCCTCTTGCTGTTCTGGCTTCTGAGATTCAGAATATTTTTTTCTTGTTTTCCTCCTCCAAAAACTAGGTGTGTCTTGTGGTCTGGTGCGTCTTATAGAGCGAAAAATACGGTATTTACCGCTTTCTGTGAAATTCGCCTCCTGCTAATCATTGGCTGAACCTGAGCTGTTGCGATTCTGAGCTGCTTGGAATATTTGGCTCCATAACCTACCTAGAATGTTGAGGCCCAGCCCTGGTGTAGGTGCGAGAACGATGAGCTCTCTGAGCATGCGCAGAGGCTTCCACAGACTCATAAGACCCTGACCCTGATTTATGTACCCGAATCCCCTGAATTTCTGTTTGGTTTTATGTGCTTTTATGCCGCCGGTTTTGGGTGGTAGTTTTGTTTTAATGACGCTGCTTGTTTTTATGCTGCATTTACAAACTCTAAATGTTTTTCAATAAATCAAATTGAGTAAATATCAGTCTCACATCTGGAGCAGCTAACACCAGCCTGCACTTATCCTGGGAAATGGGGTCCTTTCTTCTAACCCAGATTTTTCCTCTTTCCCCTCCACAGAGCCAGCTGTCTCAGGCGCTGAACGGACTCTCAGACAGAGCAAAGGAGGCCAAAGAATTCTTGGTGCAACTACGGAACATGGTGCAGCAAATCCAGGTACGCTCTCGAATCCGCCAGGTGGAAATGGGAGCTGGATGCAACATTTGGGGACCTGAAACCGAAAGCCCAAATTGGAACCCTGGCCACTGCCCAGCCAAGCAGCCCCCTAACCAGATGTCCTTCAGCTGTTTTTTTGTTTATTTAATTTTTTTAACATAATTATTACAAAATATAAGCAAAATATTGCAAATACATACATACATATATATTTCAGATAAGCCCACATATATAAAAAAGAACAAAAGATAAAAAAGAAGAAAAGAAGAAAGAAGAAAAAATAAAGAGAAAAAAGAAGAAAAGTTGGAAGAATTTCTTCCAAATTTATTCTACAAATATCTCAATATGAAATGAATAGTAAAATTTCACTGATTGACTTCCATCGCTTACACTGCACTTCCTATATACATTTTAAGCAAGGTTGTATCTGTTATTCTGTATTTTCCCCATACTATCTCACGCAAATATCCTAATCAATAAGTTTTCTAAATCTTTCATAAATCTTTTCTAAACACAACCAATACCTCCAGCTGTTTTGGATTAGAACTCCCATCAGCCCCCGACCATGATGACTGGGGGCAGACCCACACCATAATTTAAATCATCCATAGTTTAAAGCACCCAGCGTGCATGTCCAGCACATGACTTCCCCCAAAGTATCCTAGGAATGGTTAAGAGCATGAGATGAACCTGTTGAATCAGGCCAATGCCCTATTGAGTCCGGCGTCCTCTTCTCAGAGTGGCCACCCAATGCTTGTGGGAAACGCGCAAGTAGGATTCGAACACGAGAACAACATTCTCCCACCCCATAGTTCCCAGTGTAGCCTTATTAGACTTTACCGATTGGTGGGGTCTGCGTTGCTCCCGGACGGGAGGAAGGAAGTCAAATGACACCGAGGTTTGGTTCAGAAAAAGAGTTTATTCTGCTCTCCGGATAGCAGAAGGCATTGCGTGAATCGGTTCACCACAAGCACAAAAGCAAGAGAAATTGCATACAGTATATATATCCTCCAGGCACCCTCTCCCCCCTTCCCCAGGAATCCACCACGTCAGCTTATACACGTAAGTTGACATCCATGACCATAAACAGATGTTCCTGTTCCGGCACTCCCAACCATAAAAGGTTGTTCCTGTTCCTGTATTCCTTATCTTGGGGTAAGAAGGTCACCAACTCTAAGAGCACTCATCATAGAATCATAGAATCATAGAATCATAGAATCATAGAGTTGGAAGAGACCACAAGGGCCATCGAGTCCAACCCCCTGCCAAGCAGGAAACACCATCAGAGCACTCCTGACATATGGTTGTCAAGCCTCTGCTTAAAGACCTCCAAAGAAGGAGACTCCACCACACTCCTTGGCAGCCAATTCCACTGTCAAACAGCTCTTACTGTCAGGAAGTTCTTCCTAATGTTTAGGTGGAATCTTCTTTCTTGTAGTTTGGATCCATTGCTCCGTGTCCGCTTCTCTGGAGCAGCAGAAAACAACCTTTCTCCCTCCTCTATGTGACATCCTTTTATATATTTGAACATGGCTATCATATCACCCCTTAACCTCCTCTTCTCCAGGCTAAACATGCCCAGCTCCCTTAGCCGTTCCTCATAAGGCATCGTTTCCAGGCCTTGGACCATTTTGGTTGCCCTCCTCTGGACACGTTCCAGTTTGTCAGTGTCCTTCTTGAACTGTGGTGCCCAGAACTGGACACAGTACTCCAGGTGAGGTCTGACCAGAGCAGAATACAGTGGCACTATTACTTCCCTTGATCTAGATGCTATACTCCTATTGATGCAGCCCAGAATTGCATTGGCTTTTTTAGCTGCCGCGTCACACTGTTGGCTCATGTCAAGTTTGTGGTCAACCAAGACTCCTAGATCCTTTTCACATGTACTGCTCTCAAGCCACTCCTGGCGCCGTTCCCGGGTCTCTTGTCAGACCTGACAAGGTCAGTGCGTCAGTGTGGTCAGGATGTAAGATAAGACCCAGATGTGCCATCCCTGCTCCACTTGGAACTGGCAAGGCCATCCATTGCCGTCATGGACTGATAAAGGAGAGGGCTTTGAGCACTTGTTTATACAGCTGGGTTTCTGTTTATACATTGATTCAAGTGCTCAAGTTAATGCATTTTAGAAATGCTCTCTTGGAGAAGTTTCAGACTGACTGCACAGAAACCCATTCCTTCACCAGCAACTGGTAGTTTGTTAAAGGTCCTGGGAATTGCAGCTCTGTGAGGAGGAAACTACGGTTTCCCAGGATTCATTTTGGGGGAGAAAGTCATGTGCTTTTCCTGAGCATTGGAAGTCCTTTGAACCCCGGGGCTGATGGGAGCTGTGGGCTAAAACAGCTGGCGGGCACAAAGTTGGACCATGTCACTTACGTGGTTTTTAAAATATTTATATTTTATTTTAAAAATTCAGTGGAAATATGATATGAAAGAAAGGAAATGTGAAAGGAAAGAAAGAGGAAAAATTATCAAAACAATTCAATACAACAGCATATATAAGTACAGTGGTACCTCAGGTTACATACGCTTCAGGTTACAGACGCTTCAGGTTACAGACTACGCTAACCCAGAAATAGTGCTTCAGGTTAAGAACTTTGCTTCAGGATGAGAACAGGAATTGGGCTCCGGCGGCACGGCAGCAGCAGGAGGCCCCATTAGCTAAAATGGTGCTTCAGGTTAAGAACAGTTTCAGGTTAAGTACGGACCTCCGGAACGAATTAAGTACTTAACCTGAGGTACCACTGTACATAAGCAGTACTTTTTGTTTGTTTTTGTGGGCCCAGTCGCAGTGCCACCCCCACCCCCAGGCAGTGGCTAAATGTAAGATGTGATTCATAAACTCAAGCAGACAATGATCTCAATTAGAAATGGCCACAACTTTATTGATTGCAGATATAAGTGGATTTTTGGCTCGGACGTTGGGTTTTACATCCATTCCAGCCTGCCCAGACCAAAAAAAATATATTTAATTTAAAGAAAGATAAGTGAACTTGGTTCCCACGAGTTCCTGCTCCAAAATAACCCTGCACATTAGTAGCACAATTAATCCAACAAATTCTTAACACGGCATTATGCTTTTTACAAACTGATTCCAAATATTTATCCACACGCAATCTGTGTTTCAAAGCAATCCGTTCGTATGTTGCTAGAGTCGTCGTCTCTTTCATCCATTGATCGATGGGAGCCATAGCACATTATCTTTCCGACTGAATAATATTGGTCTTTTCGCAGAAGTAAGGGCACAGAGAGTCCGTTTACACTGACCCTTTGTCAAACCCCAGGCAGCTGGAATATAGTTCAAAATAATATTACCACCGGACAGTTTAAATTCCCCCCACCCCAAGTAGTATTTAGGCGAGATGGAGAGGTGTTGGGTACCACTGCTGTCGCTGCAGCATCTTCTAAAGATATGGCATAGCCGAGGCAATTATTCTCCGTGCAGCCTCCCTGCCCCCCAGCCAAGCCTGATAACATCTCTGCAAATGTGCCTGGTGGGTTAATGCAAACCTCCGGAGGAATTGGGCTTCCATGCGGCATTGATTTAAAGTGTGGCTCCTGCGCTGTGGATGGCTGGCTTTGGTTTCTAGGAAGGCTGCTCCTCCCCGCCTTTCCCTATTAAGCTGTGGAGAGTCATCCATCACAGCCGGGCTGAGCTGTTGCCAAATTAAACCCCCGCCCCCTACCGCTGCCTCGCCCCACTTTGTATGCCTTGATGTTAGTAATCCCTCTGGGGACTAATCCTGCCTCGCCTAACAGAGCAGCCCTGCTGTGGACGGAGACGCACAACTGTTTCAGTGAAGGGGTTTGATCTCCAGGAATGGGTTGGAAAGGCCGGGGAGGTTTTGCAAGAGCTCTGCTTTCTCAAGGCAGCACACAGCTGCTGTTCGATTGTAAGGGACCCGGTAGCTCGAGCCTGTTACCTGTTTTTGTGTGGAGGAGGGGTAATGTAAGGGCTGAGCCACATCAGGGCAGGATTAAGCAAAATAAGCACGTGCTTAGGGCATCAAGGGGAAGGGGAGGGCACCGCAGAAATTTTCCATTGCTGGATTTTTTAACATTCGTGGTCACAAATGGCTCAGCTGAGCATTCATGTCCTCAACTGAAGTATATTTAAAATCCCAGCAGAACAACTATTCAACAAGGCAGGCTGCATGCCTTATCTCAACTAAGTGTAGAAGCAGATGTTTTACATAAGATTAGTTTTGAGAATCTGGTCAAAGACTACAATTAGAAAAAGCAGGAGAATTTTTTTCAGATATAAATAAAGTGGAAGTAGACAAAAATAAACACTCTTTCCCATTTTACTGTAGGTTTTGTTTCATTTCAAAAAGTGTAAATTTATTTTATGGTTTATATTTTGAATTAGATATATATACAGGGCACCCAAATCCTTTAAGTGCTTAGGGTCTCTAAAGGTCTTAATCTGGCCCTGATCCACACTTAGTCTTGTCCCACTATTTCCCCCACCCCCGGGCAAAACTGCTCTTTAGTGCTCAGTTGGAGCAAACAGCAATCTGATTTTTGCACAGATTGCTGTTTGCTCCGATTTAGAGCTAAAGACTGGGTTTTTCCTGGGAAAGGAGCAGGGCAAGGTAGCAGCTGCTCAGGTCCATGCTTTCTAGGACAAGCAAAAGTGTGGGTGAGCCCTTAGTTGAGCGGTAAATGTGCATAACAACCAGCCATTGTGCACATTCACCAGGCCTCCTGGAGAATGTGCACATCATCTGCACACGAAATGTGTACGTTTCTTAGTCAATATCTGCCACCTCCAGCGGGCCTTGGGGAATCTTCATGCAGCTCAGGAGAGCCTTCCCCAACCTGGTGCCCTCCAGATGTTTGGGGCTGCATCCCTCATCTGCCATACCCCCTAGGACCGATGTGCATGCTACTCTGCAACATCTGGAGGGCACCAAGTCGGGGTAGACTTGCATGAAGACAAGACCATGTAATAGGAGCTGCTTCAACTGTCCCTATCACTGGGACCATCTCACAGGTGTTTTGCCCCACAGGAGAACAGCGTGGAGTTTGAAGCCTGCCTCGTCGCCCAGTGTGATGCCCTCATTGATGCCCTCAACCGGAGGAAAGCTCAGCTGTTGACGCGGGTCAACAAGGAACATGAGCACAAGCTGAAGGTTGGTCTGGGGTGAGGGTGGTGGTGATGTATCTGGGGGCATCGTACGGCCTTTGGACAAGAATGGCCAGCAAGGTTGACATGGGTGATGGACACAGATGGGAGACAGTTGCAGGAGGGGAAAGTACCCTTGTGCTGGGGTCCTACTTGGGGGTTTCCCATTGGGGCTAAGGGTTGTCCACTGTGAGAAGAGGATGCTGGACTCAGTGGGCCAACATCATCGCCCAGCAGAGCTCTTCTGAGTAATAAACAAGAAGATAAGAAGGTGGGGGCTGGCTGAGGGCAGACTGAGGTTGGTGAGACAAGATCCATAAAGGTAAAAGGTAAAGGATCCCTGGACGGTTAAGTCCAGTCAAAGGCGACTATGGGATTGCGGTGCTCATCTCGCTTTTCAGGCTGAGGGAGCCGGTGTTTGTCCACAGACAGCTTTCCAGGTCATGTGGCCAGCAGGACTAAACCACTTCTGGTGCAACGGACACCGTGACGGAAACCAGAGCGCACAGAAACACTGTTTACTTTCCTGCCACAGTGGTACCTATTTATCTACTTGCACTGGTGTGCTTTCAAACTGCTAGATTGGCAGGAGCTGGGACAGAGCAACGGGAGCTCACTCCATTGCGAGGATTCGAACCACCGACCTTCTGATCGGCAAGCCCAAGGACCAAAGCGCCACCTGCGTCCCTAAAATATAGATCCATGTAGGTAGCTGTCTCTCTACATTTGTGAGAACTGGTGCCCTCCAGTTATTTTGGATTTCAACTGCCATCGCCTCAAGCCTGCACACTTGCTTTGCTGTTGTTGTTTAGTCGTGTACGACTCTTTGTGACCCCCTGGACCAGAGCACGCCAGGCACTCCTGTCTTCCACTGCCTCCCGCAGTTGGGTCAAACTCATGTTTGTAGCTTCGAGAACACTGTCCAACCATCTCATCCTCTGTCGTCCCCTTCTCCTTGTGCCCTCCATCTTTCCCAACATCAGGGTCTTTTCCAAGGAGTCTTCTCATGAGGTGGCCAAAGTCTTGGAGCCTCAGCTTCAGGATCTGTCCTTCCAGTGAGCACTCAGGGCTGATTTCCTTCAGAATGGAGAGGTTTGATCTTCTTGCAGTCCATGGGACTCTCAAGAGTCTCCTCCACCACCATAATTCAAAAGCATCCATTCTATGGCGATCAGCCTTCTTTAGGGTCCAGCTCTCACTTAAAACCATAGCTTTAACTATACGGACCTGCACATACAATTCAGGGATAGCTGAGCAGGGCTTCTCCCTGCTCCACCCAGACTCCCTGAAGCCCCCACCCGTCTCCAGCGCACGCAGGAATGATTAGAGGGCTGGGATGATTTAGGGATGAGGGTGCAGCCACCATGGGAGGGAGGGGGCCTGGAAACTGCCGTGGCAACAGTTGCCATAGAAACACCCGGAGATGGAGGGAGGGAGGGATGGCAGTGTGTGTGGCATGCGGAGGACCAGAAGCAACAGATAAGCCCAGGGAGAATTGACCTTGGAGATGGAGGGCAGCTGCTTGTGTGCTGTGTACACTCTCCTCCGAGGAAAGGTTACAGCTCCTTTCCCAGGAGGGGGTTTGCGGCTGCACGAGAGAATTGATTGAAAGGAAATGGACTAGCGGAGGAATGAGAGAGTCCATCTCCTGGGCTTTTTCAATGCACCACTGCAACACAGGCTGAATGTAGGAAGAAGGTTGCTCCTAACTGGGTCGGCCGGAGCCAAAAGTCTCTCCCCCTGGGAATAGTCAAAGGCAGCAGTGCTGAGATGTTTTCCAGCCCAGTTAACTCAAACACATTTTTGTCTATTCAGCAGAGGATTCCAATAGGTTTCCCTGCATGCACAGAGGCGGCCAGCTCAGAGCTTTTGGCTTTCCACCCTCATCCTTCCCTTAGACCTCTCTGTGTGTGTCTTTGAATACCGCGGGCATTTTCAGAGCAGAACTAAGATGTCTCTTCAAAGGAAACCTGCGTCGCTCCTTACAGTAGAATGCAGCAGGGGCTTCGTCGTAGTGGAACAGCTCCGTCTTGCAGGTCCTTTAGAAAGATGTCAAGTCCCGCAGGGCCCTAGTCTCTTGTGACTACCAGATCGGAGCCACAGCCGAAAAAGCCCTGGCTCTGGTTGAGGCCAGCCTAACCTCCCTGTGGCCCGGGATCTCCAAGATGTTTTTATTTGAAGACCGTAAGGTCCTCCGTGGGACATACCAGGAGAGGCGGTCCCGTAGGTACGAGGGTCCTAGGCCGTATATGGCTTTAAAGGTTAAAACCAGCACCTTAAACCTGATCCTGTACTCCACCGGGAGCCAGTGCAGCTGGTATAGCACTGGGTGAATATGATCCCGTGGCAAGGACCCCGTAAGGAGTCTCGCCACGGCATTCTGCGGCCGCTGGAGTTTCTGGGTCATTCTCAAGGGCAGCCCCACGTAGAGTGAGTTACATGTGTGGGGTATAAATTGTAAAGGGGTGATAATTTGAAAAATGTATCCTTATGCAATGGGATGCCCCTATTTTCATCGGAGAAATGTTGGAGGGTATGCCATCCTCGTGTTGCCACCCCATGTGGACAGGGCACTCAGAGAACAGCCTCAGATGATGAACACAGAGTTCGGATGATGAAGAAATGATCACCACAGTTCTCAAGATACTGGGTTCTGCTCCCTTTCCTGAATCATACAACCTGTGAGGGCTCCAAGATTGTGAAATGACAGTTTGTTCAGCTTGTTCTGATTAGAAGAGTGGGGTGTGTGTGTGTGTGTGTGAGAGAGAGAGAGAGAGAGAGAGAGAGAGAGAGATTCTTGAGAGAGGAGAAGCTCAGGAGGAAGAAACAGATGACGTTTGCAAAGCTGATAATGAGCTTTGGGGTCTCTTAAAGGACTTGGATGTAACTTGAGTTCCCTTGAGCAGTTATTTACACAACATCACCCCTCAGTAATGAGTGCCTTGGCCCTCCCGGCTCCCCATCTTCTCTGCCTCCTGGATTGTTTTATGAGCTGTAAAGTTGCGTTGAGCATTTGAGTACTTCATTGTGGCCCAGAGGCAGAACTCATTTGGGTCATACCATATTCACATTTGTTGGTCTTAGATTTGAAATTCCACCATCTTTTAATGTCATATAACTTCCTGATATGTCCTCTAAGCCTTCCATAACAAAACCCACTGAAAGAAATGGAAATTACCGGTAATTCAGAGTGAATGTAGAAAAGTGAAACACAAATCCATCAATTTTTAAAAATTAAATAAACCTATTTCTAGGATCTTCTTGCTGTATTCTTCCTAATATAATATAATATAATATAATATAAAAAAATAATATAAAAAAATAATATAATAATACTATACTATACTATACTATACTATACTATACTATACTATACTGTACTATAATATAATATAATATAATATAATATAATATAATATAATATAATATAATAATTTATACCACGCCAATCTGGCTGGGTTTCCCCAGCTACTGGGCGGCTCCCAACCGAATATTAAAAACACAATACAGCATTAAACATTCAAAACATCCCTAAACAGGGCTGCCTTCGGATGACACCCCCAAAGATTTTGAGCCCCCCCTTCTTTTTATGCAAAAATGTTAAAAACAACGTGATCTTTCAATTGATTTACCTAAGTTCCAGGACAAAGCACTGCATTTTGAAAATTCCCTCCAGACATCACTTCCACCTCTGAAATCCCGATAATGTCCAGGAAAATCTGGGCGTATGACAGCCCTATGTGGACTTGCAAGTTTTTAACTCCCTGCATTTTTACTGAGGACTGGATTTTACGTACCCAAAACTTACGCTTTTGTTTTTGAATAAAAGTAAGTTTCTAGCCCTTATGGACATGGGAAGAGTCCCTGGGGCTGGAGAAGGGCCAAGTGTGACTTCCAGCGATGCTGGAATGGGGCTTGAGGACTCACTAGAACAACTTATTCGCTCTCCAGCGCCCAGCATCATAAATGATGCAGAAAGATAAATAACCATGCATAATGTGGCACTAATTATGCAAAATATATTTGCATTGCTTTATGAGCATCATTTATTTAGAGTGCAGCATTTGTCTTTGCTGCGGCTCAGAGGCTGGGTTTTAAATAATGCACAGCATACCCGGGCCAGTTTTTAACTCTTTGCAGGGCCAAGGCTTTGTAGCGTCCAGATCAAGGGACGTAATATTCCTGCTCGATTCTGCCTTGGTCAGGCCACACCTGGAGTACTGTGTCCAGATCTGGGCACTACAATTTAAGGAAGTTGACAAACTGGAATGTGTGCAAAGAACAACAACCGAGATGATAAAGGGTCTGAACCAAGCCTTAGAAGGAATGTTTGAGGGAGTTGGGTATGTTTAGCCTGAAAAAGAGGAGACTGAGAGGAGATATGAGAGCCATCTTCAAATATCTTTTTTTATTATTCTATCATCATCATCATCATCATCATTATTTACTTCCAAAACTGAAAAAAGAAAAATTACAAACATCAAATTCAACATCCATATTCATTTTCTAACACACACCTATTACATAATTAACTAAATTAAAATATACCTAATTACACTAAACTTCTATTTGCTGTATACAAATACAACACAGTTTGAAATTTTACATTAAAGCTTTTATATTATAAATAATATAGCCTGAAAAAGAGGAGACTGAGAGGAGATATGAGAGCCATCTTCAGATATCTTAAGGGCTGCCACATGGAGGAGGGAGCAAGCTTGTTTTCTCCTGCTTTTAAGGGTAGGTCCCAAACCAATGGATTTAAGTTACAAGAAAGGAGATTCCGACTAATCATCAGGAATAGCTTTCTGATGGTAAGAGCTGCTCAGCAGTGGAAAGGTCTCTCTTGGGGGGTGGTGGACTCTCCTTCCTTGAAAGCTTTTAACCAGAGGTTGGATGGGCGTCAGGGATGCAGGTGGCGCTGTGGTCTAAACCACTGAGCCTCTTGGGCTTGCCGATCAGAAGGTCGGCAGTTCGAATCCCCGCAATGGGGTGAGCTCCCGTTGCTCGGTCCCTGCTCCTGCCAACCTAGCAATTTGAAAGCACACCAAAAAGTGCAAGTAGATAAATAGGTACCACTGTGGTGGGAAGGTAAATGGCGTTTCCGTGCGCTGCTCTGGTTTCGGTGTTCCGTTGCGCCAGAAGCGGCTTAGTCATGCTAGCCACATGACCTGGAAAAACTGTCTACAGACAAACACTGGCTCCCTCGGCCTGTAAAGCAAGATGAGTGCTGCAACCCCAGAGTCGTCTGCGACTGGACTTAATGGTCAGGGGTCCTTTACCAGCCAGTGCAGTGTAGTGGTTAAGAGTGGTAGTCTCGTAATCTGGGGAACCGGGTTCGCTTCCCCGCTCCTCCACATGCAGCTGCTGGGTGACCTTGGGCTAGTCACACTTCTCTGAAGTCTTTCAGCCCCACTCACCGCACAGTGAGTTTGTTGTGGGGCAGGAAGGGAAAGGAGATTGTGAGCCGCTTTGAGACTCCTTCGGGTAGTGATAAAGCGGGATATCAAATCCAAACTCTTCTTCTTCTTCTTTACCTTTACTTTGGGATGGCCATCAGTCATGGATGCTTTAACTGAGATTCTTTATCGCAGGCTTCCAACTTTATGATTCTTTGGTTCAAAGGTTTGTTGATAGGGATGAGAGATTTCTGATACTGCAAATACAGTATTTGCACAAGTAGATTCAGACACTCACCATACCTCAGCCCTCACAGAGCTATAGTTCCCAAAGTGGTTTAATAATCAATCACTTTCCCCAGGAAACTCTGAGAATTGCAGCTCTCTGAGTGGAATAGCAAACTACAGTTCCCAGGATTCTCTGGGGGGGGGGGAAGGAACCGCTGTTTAAAGTGGTATGAGCCCCCGTTAAATATATAGTGTGGAGTGGACCTTATTCAAGAGAATTAGAGGCAGCTGGTAGTGCGTTGAATCAGAGGTAATGCATATCAAGTCCTTTCAGATTTTGTCTGTAATGTATTATTGTACAGACATGTTGGCCATCAACTGGGCTTGCTGTTGCGGTTATAAAAAGGTCATAGGTCAGGAGTCACCCCTGGCCCAGGTCAAGCCCTAACCTCACAGGCTACAGCTCTGTCCCCTGACACCAGTTAAGGCCCCTCTGGGACTGTGTTGAACCTCCTTCTGTGAAGCTAAGATTATGAGCCATTATTGAATTTCCGGAGCCCCTGAAACTCCTTCCTTGCCATACCTGAGACAGACCATGCATCACCCTGTGATTTATACACACGGAGTTTATGTGCAGAGCAGATGGTGGCTCCTTCAATAATATTCTGAAAGCGTCAACTTTGAGTGGAGAGGCGAGAGATTTCATTATCTGGGAAGAGCAGGAACCTCGACTTAAGCTGTAAAGAAGATAAGGAGATAAAAGATGGTTTCCCCCGCAAATCCCATATTTGCAATCTCGCTCTCCAGGGCTGGGCTCATCTCCGCAAAGAGCATTACCGGAGGCCGACGTGATGAAAGGGAAGGCTCTTTCAATGCTTTGCTTACTTGTCCTGAGGCTGGAGATTTTATAGGAACAGAGGAAGCTGCCTTATGCTGAATTCCATTGCATGCCCTGTAATAAATTAAGCACCCGAATACCACTGCATGACAACTGCCTACCACCAGGTAGCAAACACTGAAATCGAATACCATTAATGTAGACACCAAGCAACTGGCAAATAGTTGAACATTGAGAGTCGACATCAACATTTGCAAAGGGGAGCAAATTACTGGGAACACATTGACTTCAGTTTTTTTAAAAAGGGAATGCTACTCAGAACTGTGTCTGTATATCTTATTTATATTTATTTCATAAAATTTATAAACTGGTTGTTTGTAAAAATAAACCAATAAAACAAACCACAAAGCGGCTTACAAAAAGATAAAGCAATAAAACCAAGAAACATTTGCAATCCTTTTCAACATGCTAAAAGTTGAAATACTACAACAGATTAAAATTCACATTAGCATTTCTAAGCATCTGGGTAGGCTTAGCCTGAACAAGAATGTTTTTAGCAGGCACCAAAAAGAATACAGTGAAGGTCCCTGCTGGTACAAGAGGCAGGGGGTTCCGATGTATAGGCGCTGCCATACTAAACAATTGAGTTCTTAGAAATGTGGAGTGGATGTTATGTGGCAGATGTGTTGTTGTTGTTTAGTCGTTTAGTCATGTCCGACTCTTCGTGACCCCCTGGACCAGAACACGCCAGGCCCTCCTGTCTTCCACTGCCTCCCGCAGTTGGGTCAAACTCATGCTGGTAGCTTCGAGAACACTGTCCCACCATCTCGTCCTCTGTCGTCCCCTTCTCCTTGTGCCCTCCATCTTTCCCAACATCAGGGTCTTTTCCAGGGAGTCTTCTCTTCTCATGAGGTGGCCAAAGTATTGGAGCCTCAGCTTCAGGATCTGTCCTTCCAGTGAGCACTCAGGGCTGATTTCCTTCAGAATGGAGAGGTTGGATCTTCTTGCAGTCCATGGGACTCTCCAGAGTCTCCTCCAGCACCAGAATTCAAAAGCATCAATTCTTCTGCGATCAGCCTTCTTTGTGGTCCAGCTCTCACTTCCATACATCACTACTGGGAAATCCATAGCTTGAACTATACGGACCTTTGTTGGCAAGGTGATGTCTCTGCTTTTTAAGATGCTGTCTAGGTTTGTCATTGCTTTTCTCCCAAGAAGCAGGCGTCTCTTAATTTCATGACTGCTATCACCATCTGCAGTGATCATGGAGCCCAAGAAAGTAAAATCTCTCACTGCCTCCATTTCTTCCCAGTGGCCATGATCTTCGTTCTTTTTTATGTTGAACTTTAGACCATATTTTGCGCTCTCCTCTTTCACCCTCATTAAAAGGTCCTTTAATTCCTCCTCACTTTCTGCCATCAAGGTTGTGTCATCTGCATATCTGAGGTTGTTGATATTTCTTCCGGCGATCTTAATTCCGGCTTGGGATTCATCCAGCCCACATACTACATGTGGCAGATGTAGTACTGCCAATTCCATCAACTGAAGTGGTTGATGGAGCACATGTTGGGTAAGGAGATCTCGTAGGTAAATTGGCTCTGAGTTATTAAGGGCTTTGTAGATAATAGCAACAGTTTGAACTTGCCCCAGTAGCGGATCGGCAAGCAGTGCCAATCTCTGAGCACAGATGTTCCATGCTGAGTATGTCTTGTTCCTGTCAGCATCTGTGCTATAGCATTCTGCACCAACTGCAGCTTCCGGATCAAGCACAAGGGAAGCCACGCATAGAGTGCATTGCAGTAATCCAGTCTTGATGGAACTCGGGTTGCCGTATCTTGAAGAGCAAAAAAAAAAAAAGGACGCTATGATGGCCATTCAAAGCAAAGAAACCCAAATTGTTCCAAATTTTACCCCTGAAAACGAGGACGTGTCCTGGAAAAAGAGGACCCATGAATCACTGTGGCAAGACCTTCCCAAGCCAGGAATGGCAATAGCTGCTGATTTCACAAGTCCACCATTGGCGAGACTGATATCTGGCCTGCCATTTGGAATCAGTGTGATAAGGACTTCATGTCCTCCTTTTCTGCAACTTTGCAGAAACTTGCATGAACTCAAATGTCAAATGTAATCGCGAAGAAGCAACACAATGTGCGAGCCCCTCCTACTGGATGCTTGCAGTATTGCAGTATAGGAACTTAAGAAGAGCATATGCTGGATCAGGACCTGAGCACAAGAGCAACACTCCCCTCCTGTTGTTTCCAACAGCTGGTGTTCAGAAGCTGAACCGTAGGTGGGTTCCCACGAGGCAAGACAAAGTGATAACAGCAAGAACCTTTATTGAACTGCAGAACTGGACAACAGGGGCAAAGCAACTGCTTATAGACATTCCTGGAGGCCTAGGTCACTCCCACTCTCAACGTGATTGGCTGTCTAAACTTCCAAGCTGCGAATCACAAGTCAGAGTTTAAGGGCCAATGGCAGAGGCCCAAATCCTGAAATGTTCTGTGATTGGATTAGAATGTTGTCTTATTTTATTGTTGTTCGCCGCCCTGAGCCCGGCTTCGGCTGGGGAGGGTGGGATATAAATAAATTATTATTATTATTATTATTATTATTATTATTATTACTATTACTATGTGTCGAATCAGAACACAAGGGCTCAGAATCCCTAGTCCAGACAACACAGACCACTGAATACATAATAATAATAATAATAATAATAATTTATTATTTATACCCCGCCCATCTGGCTGGGTCTCCCCAGCCACTCTGGGAGGCTTCCAACAAAGATTAAAAATACATTAAAATGTCACACATTCAAAACTTCCCTAAACAGGGCTGCCTTCAGATGTCTTCTGAATGTCAGGTAGTTGTTTATCTCTTTGACATCGGATGGGAGGAGGTTCCACAGGGCGGGCGCCACCACCAAGAAGGCCCTCTGCCTGGTTCCCTGTAACCTCGCTTCTTGCAGGGAGGGAACTGCCAGAAGGCCCTCGGCGCTGGACCTCAGTGTCTGGGCTGGACAATGGTACAGAGATAGAACAGCATGGCTCCTAGCTCTGGAAACATTGCTGTCTTGTGTGTCTCGTTGCAGGTGGTGCGGGACCAGATCTCCCACTGCACAGTGAAACTACGCCAGACGACGGGACTCATGGAATACTGCTTGGAGGTCATCAAGGAGAACGATCCCAGCGGATTCCTCCAGGTTGCTGCTTGATTCTCTTCCCCCCTGTTCATACTCCTAAGAGAAGTGTGGATTTCCTCTTATTGCTGCAAATGCCCAAATTCAGACCTCCTTGAGTTCATGTATACAGTCATACCTCAGGTTACAGACACTTCAGGTTGCGTTATTTTGGGTTGCGGACCGCTGAAACCCGGAAGTATCGGAACGGGTTACTTCCGGGTTTCAGGGGTCACGCATGCAGCCGCTGCAGGTTGCGAACGCTGTGGGTTGCGAACGTGCATCCTGCATGGATCACGTTCACAACCTGAGCATCCACTGTACATTGTGGTGTTCATGACCGGTCTACTGAATGATGCTACCTAGCATTCCTAAGCAACTCAAGGCTACTTGGCCTAGGAGGACAAGGCGCTGGTGGAAAAAGGAGGAGTTGGCTGCAGGTTTGCAAGCCGTCTTGAGAAGATAAACCTGCTAGTCTGTTTAACCTTTTAAGACTCAGTCCTTCACATTCCATCAGGGATGGCCGGAGCGAAGTACAGGGACTGAGCACATCACATGCAGAAGACCCCTAAATTCAATCCCTAGTATCTCCAGTTAAAAGGATCTCAGGAAGAGTCACTGCAAAGTGTCTCTGTCTGAGTCCTTAGGGGAAAACAGCTGGTATAAAGAGACAGTAGTGGGCTTGATAGACCTGAAACTGCACAAGATGAACCATTAAATGCATCTTTTCATTTAATATGCACTTTATAAGATGCAAAGAGAAGTTGCTGAGGAGATGCAGGTTGCTGGAGGCAGAGAAGCAGAGGAGTTTGGCATCAATGGAACATTTCCCCCTGATGCAAATAGCAGCCTCAGAGGAGGGAATTTCCTCATGACTACAGCAAAGGCTTAAATCCCCTCCTTTTTGTCTTCTGTGATCTGAATTTTCTCAGGTCTGTAGTGTGGGAATCTTCAGGGAGGCAGGAGAGGATATATTGTTTATTAATATCCTTCCCAACTTGTGCTAGCAAGTTCCTTTACTTAGCAGAGTTTTACATTCCCCTTTTAAACGCACAGCAGAAAGCTGGTTGCAGGCTTGTTTAAGCCTCTCAATATTAGATTCCTGGTAAGTTCCCTTATATTCCTCTTAAAAGAATAAACACACCACAATCTTGTGTAAAGTATATAAAAGTCCAGTATACCTGAAGGAGTGTCTCCACCCCCATCACTCTACCCAGACACTGAGGTCCAGTGCCGAGGGCCTTCTGGCGGTTCCCTCACTGCGAGAAGCCAAGTTACAGGGAACCAGGCAGAGGGCCTTATCGGTGGTGGCGCCCAGCCTGTGGAACACCCTGCCACCAAAGAGAAAAACAACTACAAGACTTTTAGAAGACATCTGAAGGCAGCCCTGTTTAGGGAAGCTTTTAATGTTTAACAGATTATTGTATTTTAATCTTTTGTTGGAAGCTTATTATTATTAGTTTACTCACATCATCAGTTCACAGTTGGATCCCTGAAGGCAGACTTAGTTTCAAAGTATATATGTGTGGATCTATCCCATATGGGGATAATCCCAGTGTCCTCTGTTGGCTGAAAGCCAACAGAGCATTTCTAGCTAAAAAGGTCCAATGACGAAGGAAGTCAAAAAAGAGAAAGAGAGAGAGCTTTGTGCCTTGTGCTTTTGTTACCTGCACAGGTAAGGCCACACCCACCTCTAGTCACATGCAAAGGAAGGATGCTCCAGCCCAGGAGGAAACACGAAGTTTCAACTGGCTGGACCAAACATCCCCTTGCATGTCCACTCTAGGAAAGCAAGGAATGTTGTGTTTGACTCCTACTTATTTATCACATCCCACATGTTGGCCTTGCACCTGCCCCCCACTGGTTCCCCCCCCCCACTGATAATTCACCAAGCTGCAGATACTGTAGGCCAGTGGTTTCCAAACCTTTGGGGGTCACTGCCCCCTTGGTTCCATAAACTCATTCCCCCTATAGAAAGCATTATTCAGAAGAGAGGTTTGCACGACCCACTAAGAAAGGTGATAACACAGTGCAATTCAAAACCGTAACAATTAATTGCACATTTACTCAAAATCTAATTAAAACTATTTAGTTTAATCGATTTAATAAAATGGATGGACTTGACCCAGTGATGCCAGCTCCAGCACCCTCCTGCTGCCCTCTTGCCACTTAACAGCCCCCAGTTAATCCCACTGCCCCCACTTTGGGAACCACTGCTAGAGAAAGACACCCACAGCTTTTGAATCCTCAGTGTTGTGGGAATGTTCAGGGATGCAGGAGAGGATATATTGTTTGGTTATAGCCTTTCCAACTTGTGTTAACAAGTTCACAATTTAGCAGAGTAACATTCCCCTTTTTAAACTCACAGCGGATGCGTTAGCTCAGGCTTGCGAAAGCGTCTATAATTACTGTTCTGGTATTTTCCCCTTATTCCCTCATAAAATATAAGACACGACACAGTCTTCTATAAAAGTATAAAAGAGTTTACTCACACGTCATTCTGTTCACAATCGGATCCCAGAAGGCAGACTTAGCTTAGAAAAGTAACATACACCTGGAAACTATCTCATAATGAGACAGTTCCTTTGTCCTCTCTTGGCTGGAGGCCAAGAGAGCATCTTTGGCTAAGCAGATGTTGCTTCTTCGATGCATGTAGTCAAAGAGAGAGAGGTGGCTGCCCTGCCCTGTGCTTTTCTTATTACCTGCACAGGTGAGGCCACGCCCACCTCTAGTCACATGCAGAGGAAGTCTGTCCCAGCCCAGAAGGAAACAGGAAGTTGACCTGCTGGCTGGACAAACATTCCTCCCCTTGTGTAAACATGTTCACTCTAGGGATGTTGTACTTGACTGCTCTTGTGTTTCACATTCCACAAGTGTATGGCAGTCAAAGGGTATCCTGTGTCTAAGGATGGATTTTGCATTTTGGCTATCAAGGCTTGTGACCTTCCTCACCCCGGGAGACTTCTCCAATCCTGTACTTATCCAAGCCTCGCACACTCTGATTCACCCGTCTCCTTTGCCACCAGATCTCTGATGCGCTGATAAGGAGAGTCCACCTGACAGAGGACCAGTGGGGGAAAGGAACCCTCTCCCCAAGGATGACAACAGACTTTGATCTGAACCTGGACAGTGGGCCTTTGCTGCAGACCATCCACCAGCTGGACTTCATGCAAATGAAAGGTAAATGTCAGAGCAATCCTGTCTCTGTCTGTTTGGAAGGAGTGCCAGGCATGAAATATGAGGGGGAGGAAAGAAACAGCAGGTTTAAAATAGCCGCAAGGTAGAAATGGTTTTGGTTTTTTTTGGGACGCAGGTGGCACTGTGGGTTAAACCTCAGAGCCTAGGGCTTGCCGATCAGAAGGTCGGCGGTTCAAATCCTGGCGATGGGGTGAGCTCCCATTGCTCGGTCCCTGCTCCTGCCAACCTAGCAGTTCGAAAGCATGTCAAAGTGCAAGTAGATAAATAGGTACCGCTCCGGTGGGAAGGTAAATGGCGTTTCCGTGTGCTGCTCTGGTTCGCCAGAAGCTGCTTAGTCATGCTGGCCACATGACCTGGAAGCTGTACGCCGGCTCCCTCGGCCAATAAAGCGAGATGAGCGCCCCAACCCCAGAGTCGGTCACGACTGGACCTAATGGTCAGGGGTCCCTTTACCTTTTTTAGAAATTTATTTTAGGCATGTTATCTCCCATGCTTGAACAAAGTTCTCAGGATGACTAACAATTGCATAATAATTAAATGTCCTCTTTTTTTTGAAACACTGTTCCCTAGGAACCAGTTTTAAAAGCCGAGCTTTGCTAGTGAGTCTGGGTAGATAACATTTCCATATGGACCAAGACGAGTAATGTTAACTTGTTTCTTTAGGAATGTTACCCAGCACCCCAGTCTCCAGTCTCCAGTCGGCCTGATCTAACAGGCTTTTCTTAGATAGAATCCTAGAGATTCACAACACCATCTTACTAAAACAGGAGCACAACAGACATGGAACGCACCAACTCATTGCGCCATTCTTATGTCCTTAGTTGCGGATGTAGCCTCTGGGCTAGGAAAATGACATTCCAGTAGACTTGTAAAAGGGGAAAGAGTATTGGGAAATGATCCATAATGAATTGAAAAAAATGTTTAAAAGTACTTTCCTAATAAAACTAGAGTCAAAAGGTTATTTATGTATGATGCTGCTACTGCAGCCCGTGTTTTGTTAGTCCCAAAATGGAAAACGAGCAAGGTCCCAACCAAAGAAGAATGGCAACTTAAGTTGACAGAAATATGCACAACTCATAGACTTAACATATAGAATAAGAGAACAAGAAGAACATACATTTAGAGAAGATTGGTAAACATTTATTGAATATATGGGAAATAAATGTGTGCAGCTGAAAATGCTGGCAGCATTAATAATAATAATAATAATAATAATAATAATAATAATAATAATTTTTATTTATATCCTGCCCTCCCCGGCCAGAGCCGGGCTCAGGGCAGCTAACACCGGTAAAATTACAGTAAAAACATAAGGGGGGGGGGACCAATTTAAAATAGAGGTTAAAATGCAATTTAAAATGCAGCCTCATTTCCCCATAGATCAGAACCATAAGGGGAGGGAAACATAAGGGTCAGACTGAGTCCAGACCAAAGGCCAGGTGGAACAGCTCTGTCTTGCAGGCCCTGCGGAAAGATGTCAAGTCCCGCTGGGGCCCTAGTCTCTTGGGACAGAGCGTTCCACCAAGTTGGGGCCAGTACTGAAAAGGCCCTGGCCCTAGTTGAGACCAATCTAACCACCTTGTGACCTGGGACCTCCAAAATGTTGTCATTTGTGGACCTTAAGGTCCTCCGCGGGGCAAACCAGGAGAGGCGGTCCCGTAGGTACGAGGGTCCCAGGCTGCATAGGGCTTTAAAGGTCAAAACCAGCACCTTAAACCTGACCTTGTACTCCACCGGGAGCCATTGCAGTTAAGATAAATTCAACAGTGTAAACAAGTTTTGATAGATGCAATAATAGAATATTGAATGGTATAGCTTTTTGTAAAATGTGCAGGGATTTATGATCTGTAAAATGAACCATGGAAAGAGAAGAAAGGAAGTCACTGATATCTTAAGGATGTAAAATGAGTATTTTAAATGGTGAAACAGAAAATTCAATTAAAATTATTTAATTTTTTGCACCATAACACTCACTTTTTTCCTCCTAGAAAGTAAGGGGAAATGTCTGTGCGTGTTATGGAGCGAATGCCTGCGGGTGGCGGGGGGATCTGCTGCAGTCGTGAGCAGAGGATCCATGGTTCCCCTTCCTTCCCTCCTCCGTGGCTCGCTTTGAAACAGCAAAGCGGGAGAAGAGCCGCTGAGTGGGGAGGAGAGAGGGACAGAGAGCCTGCTTGCTTTAAAGGAGCAAAGCGGGAGAGGAGAGGAGCCGCTTACACGAGTGTAAGCGGCTCCTGTCCGGTTGGCTCCTTTGAAGCAAGCAGGCTCTCTGTCCCTCTCTCCTCCCCACTCAGCTTGCTAAATAGCATGATTAGCAGCATCCTTCTCCACACACCCCATGTGTGCTCCTTGTCCCTTGAGTGCTTTTCCTTCCCTCCCCACTTAAAACGTGGTTACAAAGCATGGATCCACATGGATCCTCAGGATTTTTGCATTGGGCTACTCCAAACTCACTGTCAGATCACATGTCTGTGGCCACAGCATGAACCACAAAAATCTTACATCCACTGTTTTGTTTAGAATATTTTTTTTCTTGTTTTCCTCCTCTAAAAACTACGTGTGTGTTATGGTCCGGTGTGTGTTATAGAGCGAAAAATACAGTATATGTGTGTGTGTGTGTGTGTGAGAGAGAATGATAATCTAGGTTTCTCAGGATGGAAAATTCCCATGTTTACATGCCTGCAGTAATGGCTGCGCAATTGCCATTTTAGGAAACAGGGGAAATAAATCTGATGCAGAAATGGGAGTGTTTGCCTCCCTCCTTCCTCTGCATGCCGTTCATTCCAAGATCTGTTTTTCCTGCATTCACACGACTGGGCACAATGCAGCCCTCCTTGCCTGCGACATGCCCAGCTGCCTTCCGTTCCTCTCCTCCTTGCCAGCTCAGCTGCATTGGCACATCGCAACAGGCCCCATCTGGGGCAGAGTGGCAGAGCAGAGAGACACAGCAACAGGCAGGGCCGCAGAGAATATGTTTGCTGGCTCTTGGGCGACCTGCCAGCTGCAAGGAGGGAGAAAGGTTGTTTTCTGCTGCTCCAGAGAAGCGGACACAGAGCAATGGATCCAAACTACAAGAAAGAAGATTCCACCTAAACATTAGGAAGAACTTCCTGACAGTGAGAGCTGTTCCACAGTGGAATTTGCTGCCAAGGAGTGTGGTGGAGTCTCCTTCTTTGGAGGTCTTTAAGCAGAGGCTTGACAACCATATGTCAGGAGTGCTCTGATGGTGTTTCCTGCTTGGCAGGGGGTTGGACTCGATGGCCCTTGTGGTCTCTTCCAACTCTATGATTCTATGATTCTATGATCTGCGCCATTGTGGCACTTCATTTTTTTTTTTATAAGATATTTATTAAGGTTTTTTAAAATATTACAGTAGAAATGAAAAAGAAAAGAGAAAAATACAAAATAAAAACAGTTAAAAACACACATATTTTCAGTTACTTATTTTCCTTTAGCTTGTTTCCCGGACCTCCTCGTACCTCCCTTTTTTGTATTCCACTTCGATTTATTGGTTCAGCAAATCCTTACCATTAGATTTTAACCCATTTATAACCCTTTTTTTTCATATTCTCTTAAAGCATCACAGCTAGAAACCGCTTAATTACTACCCAACATCATTCTATCATTCATTAATTTTACAATATTTCTGTAAATAGTCTTTAAATTTCTTCCAATCTTCTTCCACCGTCTCTTCCCCCTGGTCTCGGATTCTGCCAGTCATTTCTGCCAATTCCATATAGTCCATCACCTTTGTGGCACTTCAAAGCCATTGTGGCACTTCAAAGCCACTTCAAAGCCATTGTGGCACTTCAAAGCCTCACAAGGGGGAAGGGATATCCAGACCCCTGTCTTGAAACAGGGTTTGTTGTAGGGCGACGTTCAGGGTGCCTGCCACCTGGGTAGGAACTGTAGGCTTGTGGAGAACTGCAGTCCCCACGGCTAATGAGAAGGAAGTTCTGAACTGGCAATTTGGTCTCAGTTTGCAGTAATAACAGTATTTCTATAGCTTTTTTTTTTTTCAAAAGTGGGGCTAATGAACAAGAAGATGAGATGGCTTACTGATTTCTATACACTCAGTAGTTTAGAATAGGAGAAAAACTGGCAAGTTTTAGCTGGCCCCCAGGACTATCCCCTACAGTTCCAGTACAAAAATTAAAATAGAACATATAATGCCAAAGTACAGAAAGGACGCTACTTATATTACTTGAAGGGTTATTATAGCTAAGGACAGCCTCTTACAATAATAATAATAATAATAATAATAATAATAATAATGGTGATGGTGATAATAATAGTAATATAATAATAATAATAATAATAATAATAATATAATACATACTTATATCCACCCATCTGGCTGGGTTTCCCCAGCCACTCTGGGCAGCTTCCAACAAAAGATTAAAAATATATTAAAACATCAGTCATTAAAAACTTCATAGAATCATAGAATCATAGAGTTGGAAGAGACCACAAGGGCCATCGAGTCCAACCCCCTGCCAAGCAGGAAACACCATCAGAGCACTCCTGACATATGGTTGTCAAGCCTCTGCTTAAAGACCTCCAAAGAAGGAGACTCCACCACACTCCTTGGCAGCAAATTCCACTGTGGAACAGCTCTCACTGTCAGGAAGTTCTTCCTAATGTTTAGGTGGAATCTTCTTTCTTGTAGTTTGGATCCATTGCTCCGTGTCCGCTTCTCTGGAGCAGCAGAAAACAACCTTTCTCCTCCTCTATGTGACATCCTTTTATATATTTGAACATGGCTATCATATCACCCCTTAACCTCCTTTTCTCCAGGCTAAACATGCCCAGCTCCCTTAGCCGTTCCTCATAAGGCATCGTTTCCAGGCCTTTGACCATTTTGGTTGCCCTCCTCTGGACACGTTCCAGTTAACTTCAGGGCTGCCTTCAGATGTCTTCTAAACATCAAATAGTTGTTTATTTCTTTGACATCTGATGGGAGAGCGTTCTACAGGGTGGGCGCCACCACCGAGAAGGCCCTCTGCCTGGTTCCCTGTAACTTGGCTTAACGCAGCAAGGGAGCCGCCAGAAGGCCCTCGGAGCTGGACCTCAGTATACCCAGTATACCTGAAGGAGAGTCTCCATCCCCATCATCCAGTCCAGACACTGAGGTCCAGCTCCAAGGGCCTTCTGGCGGTTCCCTCTATGTGAGACGCCCCTCAGTGTGTACCAGATGCCAAGGAAATAAACAACTATATGACGTTTAGAAGACATCTGAAGGCAGCCCTGTTGAGGAAAATTTTTAATGTCTGAGGTTTTATCGTGCTTTTAACATTCTGTTGGGAGCTGCCTAGAGTGGCTGGAAACCCAGCCAGAGGGGCGGGGTATAAATTATAATTATTATTATTATAATACAGTCATACCTCTTGTTAAGTTTGCTTCAGGTTAAATGTTTTCAGGTTGCTTCCCACGGCGACCCGGAAGTACTGGAAAGGGTTCCTTCCGGGTTTCGCCGTTCACGCATGCGCAGACGCTCAAAATGACGTCACACGCATGCGTAGAAGCGGCGAATTGCGACCTGCGCAGGCACGGGTTGCGTTCTGCTCATGTTGCGAACGGAACTCCGGAACGGATCCCGTTCGCAACCAGAGGTACCACTGTATTAGGGTGAAGGATGGGTAATAAGCCAGCAAACTCTTGCAGAACTCAGAGGCCCCGATTTCCACCCTGTCTGGCGGTAGAAGTCGGGGTTACACTAATTTCTGTTTAGCTTCCTCCCCAGTGCCGGCCCCCCCAATCCTCCAGCTGGAAGAGTGCTGCACCCAGAACAACAGCGCCACCTTGTCGTGGAAGCAGCCCCCACTTTCCGCGGTGCAAGTGGATGGATACATCCTGGAGTTGGATGATGGGAACGGTGGTCAGTTCAGGGTACGTTTTATGGAGAGGCACTTTTACGTTGTGGGGTGGGTGGGTGGGTGGGAGGGAGAACAGTGCTGGCTCCGGGTTTTAGCGTTGGAAGGGGTTCCAGGGGTCATCTAGTCCAACCCCGTGTGATGCAGGGATCTCCAACGGACAGGTGGCCACCCACCCTCGTTAACAGACCATTAAACTCAAATAGAATTGCGTGGCGAGTTCCCGCCCCCACCAAGTGGAAATAAGGCCACATGACACAATTATTAAGGTTAATGGGCTAAATAAAGCCACAACTTTTATTGGTTACAGGTGATGAGCGGTATTGGCTTAGGCATTGGTCCTAACTGACTATATCCGACTCCAGCCAGTCCGCTGGAAGTCCAGGAAGGGTTAACCACCAGTAAGGGGAGTCCTGCTGATGCACATCAACTAGGAACTCCCCCGGGGTCACCAATAGGGGGCGTGCCTTAGGCCCTCAGCTCCCCAGGCTTCGGACAGGGCCACGCCCCCCGGAATCCTTTACCGGACTACCCTTCAATATGGGGGGCAGGTGATGGCGCTTCCTCCCCTCTTCCAATTACAGAACTATACCAATGCCCAACCCCCAATACCCAGAAAGTTGTGACGATTTGCTACGAGGTAGGCGAAAACCAAGTGGCTGGTGCCAATTTGCCAAGTGGAAAAATTCCTACCAGGCCCCTCAACGGCAACCAACTGAGGTCCATAGCAAGGTCAAGGAACGGAAACCTTATAGGGCGGGAGGGTGAGAAAAGCAGGAACAGCTGAGGAGCGACAAAGAGGGAGATCCCCGGCCCACGTCCTGCTTTAAATAGGGCAGGCCATGCCCCCTGAACAAGCCAATTGGCCGGCCAGGGGGTGACACAGCCAGGAATCCCCCCAATCATGCGGGGGCTGGCCAGTGTGGTGTAGTGGTTAAGAGTGGTAGTCTCGTAATCTGGGGAACCGGGTTCGCGTCTCCGCTCCTCCGCATGCAGCTGCTGGGTGACCTTGGGCCAGTCACACTTCCTTGAAGTCTCTCAGCCCCACTCACCTCACAGAGTGTTTGTTGTGGGGGAGGAAGGGAAAGGAGAATGTTAGCCACTTTGAGACTCCTTAAAGGGAGTGAAAGGGGGGATATCAAATCCAAACTCTTCTTCTTCTTCTTCCACCCACCGTGCGCATGGTGGGGCCATGAAGCCCACAACCCCACCTCCTCTGAAGGGCGGAAGTGGCTTTGGGACCCTAGAATCACAGAACTGTAGAGGTGGAAGGGACCCCAAGGGTCTAGTCCGAGTCCCTGAAATGCAGGGGTTGAAACCACGAACGCTTTGTGTGCGTAGGCAATCGAGAATAGATTTCTGATGTGAGACTTGGGTGGGTGGAAAGCTAAGCCAGCACAGATGCCTTTTGGGGGGGGGGGGGGCTGGCTTAAAATAGCTGCCTCCAACATCTTGGAAATAAAAGGCAATTGCTTCCTAGCCTCCTCGTTTCTCTGGGGAGCTGTGAGTTTCAGGGACAGTTACTCAACAATCAATTTTTCTTAGGAGCAGCAATCAAATAAACAAATATATGTAATATATTCGCTGGGGAGCAGCCTCAGCTGCGTGGTTGGACATCTGCTTTGCTTGTAGAAGGTCCAAGGTTCAATTTCTGATGCCCCTGAGATGCCCCTGGCTGAAACCCTGGAGAGGTGCTGCCAGTCAGTGTGGGCAATATTGGCCTAGATGGTCCAGTGGCCTGGCTGCATAAGGCAGATTCCTGTATTACCCAATATATTTAAGGTAGGATCATTGCTCAGTGGCAGAGCACCTGCTCTGCATGCAGAAGCACCCTGCTTCAGTCCCCCGCATCTCCAAGTTGGGCTGGGAAAGGCTCCCTTCCTGAATCCCTGGAGAGCTGTTGCCAGTCAGTGTAGACAGCAATGAGCACAAGGCAGCTTCCCGCAATCCTAATTTTTGGACATTCAGCGATTGGCGTTGACTCAACTGAGATTTGAGCCAGAGTCTTCGTTTGCCAACCTGATGCCTACTGATATTTTGGACTACAACTCCGACTGGCCCTGACCACCGTGGACTTTTGGAGTAGTGGTACGAAACATCTAGAGGGTGTCAGGTTGGCAAAGGCTGGCCTATGATCTTGCCTCCCACTGTGCACACCAGATCTCTGCTGCATTGCAAAGCTTCTCAGAAAGGGCCCGTTTCCTGTGGGAGCAGTCAAATGCAACATTCCTTGTTTTCCTAGAGTGGACATGCAAGGGATATTGGTCAGCCAGTCGAAACTTCCTGTTTCCTCCTGGCCTGGAGCATCCTTCCTTGCATGTGACTAGATGTGGGTGTGATCTTACCTGTCCAGGTAACAAAAAGCACAAATCACGCAGCACTCTCTCTCTCTCTGACTTCCTTATTTGTTTGACCAGCTTTTAGCTAGGACTGCTATGCCAGCTTCTTATCTAGCATAAGCACTGGGATGATTCCCCATATGGGGAAGATCCACATGTACATATTTTGTAACTAAGTCTGCCTTCAGGAATCCAACTGTGAACTGATGTGAGTAAACTTCTTTTATTGGCTTTAAATAAGATTGTTGTGTCTTCATTCTTTTAAGAGGGATTCAAGGGAATTTACCAGGAACTATACAATTCATTCTGAGACAGACTGAATTGTATAACAGTGAGAGACTCACACAAGCCTGCAGCCAGCTATCTGCTGTGCCTGAGGAGGAGAATGTAAACTCTGCTAAGCAAAGGAACCTGCTAGCACGAGTTAGAAAGGATATTAATAAACAATATATGCCTCCCTGAACATTCCCACACATACATCAGCTTTGTGTCTTTGTGTCCTTAGGAGGTGTATGTCGGGAAAGAGACGATGTGCACTGTGGATGGACTCCACTTTAACAGCACCTACAGTGCTCGGGTCAAGGCCTTCAACAAGACCGGGGTCAGCCCCTACAGCAAGATGCTGGTCCTGCAGACCTCCGAGGGTAAGTCATGGCTGCCGGGATCAGGGGTGAGGCATTTTCCACTGAAGAAGGGCCAGGGGGGTCCTTCCTTGCCTAGGCTCATCTTAGGAATTCTTGCAGGAGATGCCCTTCCTTGTTTGGGTTGCTAAACTGGAGACCCCCCCCTTCCCTCAAAAAAGGAGAGAAATGTCACCTGGGAAAAGGCGTCAAAAGCAATTTCTGTCCTCCCTGCCCCTTCCGTTCCAAAAACGTGTCGCGCAGTTGGCCATGTTTTCTATTTAATAGTTGCATCCTGCTTTTCCAACAATGAACGTGGAGCTCAAAGCGGCTTGCGACAATCACAGCAGCGCTGAAAAGCAACAAACGCAGCAGCGAGCGCTCTAATATCTCTAACGCAGTGTCCTATGAATTAAAGCAAACGGGCAACCACAAATCCATCAGTCAGTGTGATTCAGTAACGTCAGAAGATGGGAAGAGCTGCTGGGCACCAGCCCTAGAGCGGATGACATCCTCTCTCTGGGGAGGGGCTACTTCTTGGCTCAGGCAGCCCACTCCCAGGCAGTGAGATCGTTCACAGCTTTTTAATCCTGACTTCTTTTTCACCTTGTATGAGTCTGCAGGTGCACCTACAGGTGTTTTGTTGAAGCACAGAGGCAACTCCTTGAGACCCAGAGTCTATTTCTTTTATCTCTCTCTCTTGAGTGGGAAACAGCTCCCGGAAAGCTTTCTTCCGCCTCCCTCTCTTCTGACACGCACAGCCTTCAAACTCCCCCTTGGCCTCCGTTTTCCTCCTTCTCCCTTCAGCCCCTAATCGGCATGGGGTAGGCGCACCCCGTTTTCCCACTTGAGATGGAACAGGCATGAGCCACCCCCTCCCTGCGCTGTTCCCCTCGCCACTGGCGCTGTGCCTCTCTTCCTGCATTGTGTGCCAGAGCCCACAAAGCACTGGCAGCAGTGCCATCTTCTGACAGAGGATCACGCCGAAATCTCACAAGATCTCCTGCTCTCCATGAGCTCTTGTGAGACTTCGGCAAGATGGAATCAAAGAACGGTGGAGCTGGAAAGGACCCCTAGTCCAACCCAGCAGTGGCGCATGTACCCATGGCGCGGGGGAGGGCACGCACTGGGGGTCTGGAGGGCGAACGTAGGCTGCTGTGCACCAGCCCAGCGCCAGCCACTGCAGCTACTGGAGTGACCCCAGCCCAAGCTGCTTTGCGAGGCTGGAATGACCCCAGCCTCCAAAAGGAGCACAGGGCCTTGCAATGCTTTGCAAAGGGACTTGAGGCTGGGGCTGGGATCGGAAGGTGCGCGGCATCTTCCTTGTATCTACGGGACCGCCTCTCCTGGTCTGCCCGACAGAGGACCTTAAGGTCCATGAATAACCATAGTTTAGAGGTCCCAGGGCCTAAGGAAATCAGACTATCCTCCACCAGGGCCAGGGCCTTCTCAGTGATGGCTCCGAACTGGTGGAATGCTCTGTCCCATGAGACCAGGGCCCTGCAGGATTTAACCTCCTACTGCAGGGCCTGTAAGACAGAGCTATTCTGCCTGGCTTTCAATATTATTTCCCTTCCTTCCCTCCCCCTCCCCTTTTATGAAGATTACCCACTCTGGGATCCCACAGCTAATTCTCCCCTGGTCTCCTCGCTGGCCCAAACAGGACTAATTTAGCCAGCTAGCCCTGGTGATCATCTAATGTTTGTTGGATGGATTTCCCCCCTAAATTGATTTTTGAATTCTGAATTTATTGTTATCCACATTTTATACTGTATTTTATGCTGTTTTTTGTTGCATCAATTAAGTGTTTTAAATCTGTTGTTAGCCACCCTGAGCCCGGTTTTCTGAACCGGGAAGGGTGGGGTATAAATAAAACTTTATTATTATTATTATTTCTCAAGGCACCCTCCCTGAGCTGCTTTGCGAGGCTGGGATCTGATCATATTCCAGCCTTGCAAAGGGCTAGCTCAAGGAAGGTGGCATGAGCAGCGCTCCCTCCCCAAAAATGTGCCCGAAGCAATTGCCTTGGGAATTCCCTCCCTCCTCCCAACCCTACAACCCTAGTCCAATCCCTTGCAAGGCAGGAATCTCGCCTGAAGCATCCTGAAGCCACCCAACCTCTGCTTAAAAACCACCAGGGAACGAGAGCCCACAGCCACTGTCTCTTCTTACTGTTCCATGGCTCTTACTTGCCAAAAGATAAGGTTTGCTTGCTCAAGGATTTCGGCTGAGGAGTGTGTGTGTGCGTGCGCACACATGCATGCATGCACACACAAGTGTATATCTATAGATTTGCACCCAGCTTTGTAGATCTGTGTGCAGAGTTTTGTATATAAGGTTGCATCCGACGTTGTTGGTCCCTTACCTTTCCCGCCCTGACCTGGCCACAGTGATCCATGCGACGGTCACCTCCAGGCTTGACTACTGTAATTCGCTCTACGCGGGGCTGCCCTTGAAGCTGTCCCAGAAACTCCAGCGGGTGCAGAATGCTGCAGCGAGGCTCCTCACGGGGTCTCTGCCATGGGAGCATATTCACCCAGTGCTTTTCCAGCTGCACTGGCTCCCGGTCGAGTACAGGGTCAGATTTAAGGTGCTGGTTTTGACCTTTTAAGCCCTTCACGGCCTAGGACCCTCGTACCTACGGGACCGCCTCTCCCGCTATGCCCCACAGAGGACCTTAAAGTCCATAAATAGCAACACCCTAGAGGTCCCTAAGGAAGTCAGACTAGCCTCAACCAGAGGCAGGGCCTTTTCAACACTGGCTCTGGCCTGGTGGAACGCTCTGGCTCATGAGACCAGGGCCCTGCGGGATCTGATTTCTTTCCACAGGGCCTGTAAGACAGAGTTGTTCCGCCTGGCCTTTGGCTTGGAGCCAGTTTGATTCCCTCCCCCTCTTTCTTTTTCCTTTCTCCTCCCTGTGATTGAGGCTGCATTTTAATATTTTAATGTTTCAGTATTTTAATGCTGTATTTTAATCTTGTTTTTTAAGTTGTATTCATTCAATTTGTTTTTATTATTGCTTGTTAGTTGCCCTGAGCCCGGCCTTGGCTGGGGAGGGCGGGGTATAAATAAAAATTATTATTATTATTATTATTATTATTATTATTATTACGAGCTAGCAGAATGCCGTTGGTGGGGTGGGGCTTCCCCTTCCTCTCCTCTCCCTGTGAGCCCTCCACCAAAAAATTTGGTAAAGCCATAACTGGGAGCCAGTGGCGGAGGGAGGAGGGTGCGGTGGGGGCAGTCCACCCTGGGCATCTTCACTGAGGGGGGCGACATTTGCTGCACCGCCCGCCCGTGACTCCCAAGCCTACCCCGAGCCGTCGGGGAAAAGGGGGACAGCAGGAGGCTTAGGAATTGCAGGTGAGCGGTGCACCGAATGTTGAGCGCACCGTGCACCTAAGCGGCTATCCCGTGCCTGGGAGGGCACCCTCCGTGCCCTCCCTCGGGAGCACGCCCCACCCCCCTCGGTGGGCGCACCCGCCCTGGGTAGTGTGGGCATATGCCCCGCCACTGCTGGGAGCTGACGTTCTGCCCCTGGAGCCAGGCTCCCCTTGGGAGACTCCCCCCTCTTGCACTTGCACAGGTAAGGAAGGGCTTGGATGCCATGTTCGAATCGCCTCTTTGGGGAGCTCTGACCTTGAGTTTGCCTTGATCTTGCATCTAGACTCCGAACCAGAGGAGCAGGCCCTGACTTTCCCAGTGCCTTTGGAAAGGCTGCAGCTGCGTAGATCCAGCCCCTTCTCTTCCACCCTTAACCTGCAAAACAGCTTTCCGGGAGATCCTACTTTGAGCTCAGATCCTCGTCCCACCAAATGAGCTTGCACTCTTCTTTACAATCTCTGAATTCGGCCGGTGGGTGAGCCGAGTGTGCCTGGCGTTGCCTCTTGCGCTGTGCTTCTGGACGTTCCCCCGTTTTTGTTTTCGGGGTTCGGCTCTTGTTTTGTTGCTGTTTGCTTTTTTTTTTTGCTTTTCTTTTTAATTTTTTTGGGGGGGCCCTCCTCCCCTTCTTCCCCCGCCCATGGCATCCGTGTGAGACGGGACTTGCTGTTCTGTGTTGTCAGTGGCCCGCGTTCCACTGTGCAGGAAACTCTGAGGATGTAGACATGATGTGTGACGTGTTTGTTTCTATGTTACAAGTTTGTAGACTTTGTTTGAACAGCACCAGCAAGCAAGGATATCGTTGCTGACATCCTGTCACCTTTACGTGGCCCTGCAGTCAGCAGCATTGTCTTTGGGAAGGGGAAAAAGGTCACAAATGTGCAAAGTTCAAATAGCATTTAGGAGGAATTTTTTTAAAAAACCATTTACTTGCAGTATTCTATTGATTAAATTTCTATCCTGCTGTTCCTCCCAAAGGAGCCCAGGGCAGGCAGCAATTACTGGATTTCACTACCAGATTGGGGATTTTTAAAATGCAACTTGAGGGTATAACACAACCTTTGCCAACCTGGTGCTCTGCAAATATTTTGGACTACAACTCCCATAAACAACCAGCCAGCACCCTCAGGAGCATATGGCCATGCTGCCTCAGGCTGATGGGAGTTGTAGTCCAACACGACTGTTGAGCACCCGATTGGTGCTGTAACAGAAGAAGCAGGTTAGATCACAGATGTGCCAATGATCAGGGATGATGGGAGTTGTAGTCCAGCAATATCTGGAATACACACCACACCGACTAACTGTGGCAGAGCATGTCAGCAAGAAGACTGTGCCAGGAAACGTCTCCCTAACAGGCTAAACGTCCCCCAGTGCAGAGGTTTTGGTGCAGGACAGGAGACCCAACGTGGTCTCTCCAGATGTTGGGTTGCAGCGCGCATCACCTCCAGCCGGCTTGGCCAGTGGCCAGCAGCCAGAGGAGCTGTTGTCCAACAACATCTGGAAGGCACAATGTTGGCTGCCGCCATGTAGGAAAACATCCAAGCTGCGTTTGGCTTCCTGAAGGCATATAATTCCTGGGTGGGAGATGGGTGCCCACTGTCTATAACATTGAATCTGTGGCCACACCCCACACATTCATTTGTTATTTGTTTCCTAAAATGTATACACCGCTGGATTGTAAAAAACAAAACACACACAAACACACACTTCAAAGCGGTTTACAGAAAAGAAAACAAACATTAAAATGGTCACAAAGTGAAATATACTCGTAGTCGAGAGTGGATTTCATGCTCTTTATTCAGCTCATAGTAGCGAGGAATGGAAGTTCCTCCAAAATGTCTGCTTTATATACATTATTTACACAATGGGCCCCACGTGATTGGCTAATTCCGGGATTCTCCTGTAGGCCAATCAGGTCGCGGATTTACTTCCACCTGGAGCTGGATTGGGTGGCTCCTGTGGACCAATCAGACTGCTGCATTCTGGAATCCTATTCGACTCAGTACATAACACAAAGAAAAATGATTTAAGACATTCGAAAGGTTTAAAATAACGATAAGCTAAAAGCAGCTTAAGGCTTGCACCAGCTATCTAAACATCTGGGCAGGCTTGTCTGAACAGAAAGGCTTTCAGCAGGCCCCAGAAAGAGTACAGCGGAGGTGGCCGATCTCAATAGGCAGGGAGTTCCGAAGTGTAGGCCACAGGAAAAGACCAAGTTCTTGCAAGCGCAGAACGGCTCTTACATGGCATCTGCAGCAGTGCCAGTTTCCGCAGATCGAAGCAGCCGAGTAAGGGGCAGGCTGATTTCCACTGTGATGCCTTCAGCAAGAGAGCAACCAAGGAGAAGGAAGGTTCTAGAAAGCTGTCCTGAGCCTTGGGCTATAACAGCAGCTCTTCACATGCATTTTCCTGCGGGATATTCTGGAATTCCGGTGCCAAGGCCTCAGGCGCCCCTTCTCTCCGCAGCCCACCCTTCCCCTCCCACCTTTGCAAGAACCAACCTTTTCAGTTTGGGTTGCATTATTTTTTTTTAGGATTCTCCCGTTGCTACAAGCTTACGCTGGTGTAACCTCCATTGGCATCTGCCTGACACCGGCGTAAGCAAAGGAGAATAGCCCTGACATAGATTTCTTTCTTTCCGTCCACCCCATACTTTGGAATGAGGAATGGCACAGTCTTTTAGTTGCTGGGCTACACGGAGGGGCTGGACGCACAACCCCGGTTTTATTATATTTTCCCCATTGTCCTTTTATGGGTTACCCCATCTCACTGCTTCTGTGCGACTGGCTTTCGACATAATCCATCTCCAAACGTTTCTGATCTTGTGTCCCGTGTACAAAGAGTTGGTGGGTCTGCCTGCTTCCATGTGCCTTCTTGGAGTCTGTATCGTTGGAGTGAATCGGTCTCAAGCTGGGCGGGGGGCGTTGGGGGGGCGGGTGTGTGGGGTGGAGGTAGGGATTTGCGGGGGGGAATAAACTGGATGCGGTTCGCTTTCAAAAAGCAAACCTGCATAATTTCTGCTTTCTGAAACAATAAGCAAACAGAAACGTTGCCATCGTTTGAGATTCGCCGTTCTCCGAACTTTGCAGTGCAGTTTCCTGGCCAAGTAGTTTGTAGAAAAACAAGTCTCTTAAGGGGAAATTGATATATTTAAGGGGAAATTGATATATATATATTGATATATTTGTGGAGATAACAGATAAAAATGCATTCTGTTGGGAGGAATTGCTTTGCAAAAATGCGCAAGTCAAACAGCGTTGCATACAAAACAAGTGTGTGATATGCTGGCGAATTTTCGTGAGAACGTCTTTTTAAAAAATTCACGAACTGGTGTGGAAATGTGGAGAGCTTAAGAGTGGGAAAAGAGGAAATTCACAGAAATTCACACAGTGTGTGAAATTCACAGATTCACCTATCCTTAGATGGTTGGTGGAGCTCTTCCCTAAAACGGACACCTTTTGCTTCTCTTAGGAGACGTTGCACAATGGGAAATTGCCCAAAAATGTGAAGGTCACAATCCCCTAAGTTGGTATGAGTCCAGATTCATTTAAAAGGCTTTTGCTAAATTCCACAGGATCAGGGTTACGTGCATTTCTTCCGTTGATGCTCAAATTCCACCCCCACCAATTCATTCTCCGATTTATGCAAACTCAATTAGGTATTCCTTATTTTTATTTTTCATCCATTAATACTGGTCCTGTGGTTTTTCTAGTCTTTGCCAACACACACACAAAAAAGAAAAGTGATGGACAAGGAGAAATGAGGGTGTTTCTTTTACTGTTTTTACAAGGTTTTAAAACTGTTTTTAGAAGTTTTAATTGACTTCCACTATTGACTTGTTTGCTGTCCTGGTCTCCTCCTTCGGGAGGAAAGGCAGAATTTAAGTAATTTATTATTTTTATCATCACCATCATAGAATTGTAGAGTTTGAGGGGACCCCGAGGGTCATCTACTCCAACCCCTCCAATGCAGGAATCACAGCTAAAAGAATTCCTGGCCACCCAGATAGGATAGGAAGAAAAAGTAGGACAGATAGGAAGGAAGGGGGAGCGGACATTGAAACTAGAATGCTCAATATATCAAATTGTATTTAATATTGTATTTAATGTTTTGAGACTACAATTCCCATGATCCCTGACCACTGGTCCTGCTAGCTAGGGATCATGGGAGTTGTAGGCCAAAAACATCTGGAGGGCTGAGGTTGAGGAAGCCTGCTCTAGTTGCATAGCTAATGGTTGATGATATTATTATTATATTATTATTATTATTATTATTATTATTATTTGTATACTGTCTTTCTATCTTACAATACTCAAGGTGGTTTACAAGCTGAAGAAACAAAAAATGTACAACTTATAACAATCTGATGCAATACAAAAATGTGATAATAAAACAAAGCTTTAAAATAAGCAACCTAGATCAAAAAGTAACATTCAACAATTATTAGAATAGTACAAAATAATAATATCAACATATAAAAGTTAAACAGAAATCCACTCAACAGTTACAATAAATAATTTCTAAAACAACGGCAAGCCACAGGGCATTAAATAATACAATACAAATTGAGAAGCAGAAACTAAAGGGTGGAGCAAGGCAGGGGGAAAGAGGCCTTGCCTGATGGATAGACCTCTCCACTGGGTTGACTAAAAGCCAGTGGCAGAGAGTTCCACTGGCTATGTGCTGTGCATGGCCGAAGTGCCACTTGTTGCTTGCCTTGAATCCTCTGCTGTCAATCCACTTCATGGGTGCCAGGTCTGGGTTCTAGAATGGGCATCTCCGGGAGCTTTGACTCCAACTCCCATCAGCCCCTGCCAGGATGATCGGGGCTGATGGGAGTTGGGAGTCCAATTGGCCTGGAGAGACGCAGGTTGGGGAAACTCCATGAAATGCACATGTCTCTGGTTCTGATGGTGGGCCTCTGGCTTTGCAAGTGAATCTGGCAAATCCGTTCTGGCGGCTGCTGCCCGCTGGTGCCCCAGCTGCGTGGCTTCTGCCGCCCGAGTCCGGTTGCCCTTTCTCCGTGTCGACGTATGAAATGCAGTGTGTCTCTTTATAGGTTTTGAGGCTCAGTCAGGACCTTTCTCCCAACTGGGCAAGTATATACTTCCTTCCACATTTTGGTGGCATTTGTTTCGGTCACTTGTTTTTAACCCTCGACTCCCCCCATTCGTACATGACAAGGAGAGACCCCCAGCTATACACCCGATGTTTAAACTAACACTATGTTTGGTCCAGTCTGTCCCCCCTTACCTTGTTTGTAACACCTTTGAGGGGTGGGGGAAGAGGGTAGGCAGCCCAGGAAGCGATGCTGAAATGAGAAACAGCTGTTTTTAGCTAGAGGGCAAAGCCACCAACTCATAATAATATACCGTATTTTTCGCTCTATAGGACGCACAGGACCACAAGACACACCTAGTTTTTAGAGGGGGAAATCAAGAAAAAAAATACTATTCCCCCCCAGCCCCAAAGAGCAAAGAAGCCAAGACAGCCATAGGGACCCCCGTCTGGAGAGGCTGTGCAAGGTTAAGAGGAAGCCATGGCAGTGAGCCGGATGGATCGCGCTCGCTGCCTTGGCTTCTTTAGCCTTGCACAGCCTCTCCCGGCTATGGCAATTCCCCACCTCCGCAAAAGCCCACAGGAGCCGTGCACCCTTTAAGGGCGTGCGGCTCCTGCGGGCTTTTTTACGAGGAGGGAGAAGGGACTGACTGGCCGCGTCAGTCCCTTCTCCCTCCTGGGGAAAAGCCCGCAAGAGCCGCAGGAAGCTTGTGTGTGGCTCTTGGGGGCTTTACCTGCCTGCCTCCCCCCTGCATTCGCTCCATAGGCTGCACAGACTTTTCCCCTTAGTTTTTAAGAGTGGAAAAGTGTGTCCTATGGAGCGAAAAATACGGTAAATGAATTCGCAGAGCCTGCTAGAATGCCTCTAGGGGGCGCCTTTGGAGGAAGGCTGTCTTAGAGCATGTGACTACCCCAGTCTGCCCCCTGCCTGGACATAGCATAGTTAAGCAGAGATTTGAACCCAGATCTCCCTGGTCTGAGCAAACTCACTCTCAGCATCACATCACACCTGGCTCAAGGTGTCCGTCGGAGCCTCTGAAACTCATAAGGGATGGATCGAGTTATGGCACTATGGAAGCAGTCCAATAAACCTAGCTTGGAGTCAACCCTTTGAAGAAGTGAAATTTAGACCTGGTTTTTCTTTAATTGGGTGAGGGATTCTCCTTGGTTTCTTAGCTGAGTTGTGGGGAGGCAGGAGGAGCTAAAGGAAACCAGCCTCTTACAGAATTTGGTAGCCTTTCCTTGAGCCCTTCCCTGTCTGCAAAAGCTGTGTGGTCTCCGGTACACGTTATGTATAACTGTGCGAGGTTTCTGCTAATGCCAAATTGATGTGCCAGCTTTGGCCGGGAGGGGCAAACTAAAGTATGCAGCCAGGAGACCAAGCTACAATGAAGCTTCCGGTTGGCGCTTTGTCCTCTGTCAATGCCGACGCCGCTTCTCATTTGTTCCCCTCCATGCCTTTCGCTCGGAACGACAACAGTTGATATTAAAAACTGGTAGCAGGTAGGAGCCCGTTTGGATGCATGGGGCCAATGGAACCTACTGACTGGCTGCAACAGTTTGTGTGTGTTTGTGAGTGTGTTTTGAAAACTTTGCGGCACGTGTGTTGTCCTCAAGGCGACGTCTTGCCCGGAGGAATTCCAGTAACCAAATCCAAGCCATGAAGTTGGCACCTGCCCAGATTGCTAGCCCAAAGCTCTGTGGGTTCCCAGTTGGTGCAGCAAAACTCAGCAACCCAACAACATCCTCTCCTGTCCTCTGCATTCGGACAATGTGCAATTGCAGTGAAAAGCCTAAACAAAGCAAGCAGGCAAAGGCAAGGGCAATCAGGGAGCCAAGTCTGCAGGCCCAGGGCAGCCCTAACATTAGACAGAGTGAGACACCGGCCTTCAGGCGGCAGGTGCAGGGGAGGGTGTCAGCCCCTGGCTCTTCCCCATGAGCCCACGCTCCACCAATTTTCTGTTCTTGCCTCTTTTTGCCGCACGCAGCATCGTTTCCATTCTGCTGCAAGTCACCTTCCAACAAAAACTAAACCATTTATCTCCCTACCTGCTGTGGGGAGTTACTGTATGCAGCTTGCATAATTTACATAGGGAGGGATTCATAGGGAGGAATTTTGGTGCCTCCCTTTGGATTTGTCCCTAGAACAGGGCTGGCCCTACCATGAGGCAGAGTAAGGCAAGTGCCTCGGGTGGCAAATACTGATGAGCATTGAGTGGAGAGTGTCGGAACCTGTGATCGGCCGAGCTCCTCCGGAATTGCCTCTGACGTGATTAACGACCTGAGCCTTTGATAAGGCTCCAGGCACATTCCCCATTATGCAGAGAATCAAAACAGCATGCGGAAGTGATGAGATTTATGGCTACATCACTATGCTTTATTTCTTACTATGCAGACAGAAAACCACATCCTCTCTCTGTGAGAGGCAGAGAGCAACTGAAACAAACAAAGGAACAGGAAACCAGTAACGTCACATCCATCTCCTGTCTCCCGTGAGACTTCCAACAGCCTGGAATGTCTCTGGAATGTAAACAGAGTCTTGTGACTCTAAGCAGCTGCACAGTGGCAAACAGAAACTAACAGAGAGAGCCCTTGGGGTGCAGTGGAGGATGCTGAAATAAGATGCAATGGTCTGCAGAGCTTTTGTACGTGGAATGGGACTGGGTGGTGGCAACTTCTTGCCCCCTGCTTCAGGCGGCAAAATGCCTTAGGCCGGCTCTGTCCCAGAAAGCATGTGGAATCGTGGCCTTTGAGCAACCTGCAACTCTCTTCCTCCTGCATGCCTGCATGGAATGCATTTTGTGCCTCCCCCCCCCCAGCCCAGGGACTGCCATCCCATTCACACAGGTAACCTTTCTTCCCTTGTGTCCATTGCAGTGGCCTGGTTTTCGTTTGACCCAAATACGGCCCACTCGGACGTCATCTTCTCCAACGACAACCTGACCGTCACCTGCAACAGCTACGACGACCGGGTGGTGTTGGGCAAAACAGGCTTCTCCAAGGGGCTCCACTACTGGGAGCTGTCCATCGACCGCTACGACAACCACCCGGACCCGGCCTTTGGTGTGGCCCGCATGGATGTTCTCAAGGACGTCATGCTGGGGAAAGATGACAAGGCCTGGGCCATGTACGTGGACAACAACCGGAGCTGGTTCATGCATAACAATTCACACACCAACAGGTACGTGGCCCCAGAGCATCTCTGGTTCCCTCTGTCTCTTCTCCCCATCCTCTGAACGTTGGAAGCACGCAGTTAGACTATGGAACTCTCTGCCACAAGATGTGGTGTGATGGCCCCCAACTTGGATAGTTTTAGAAGAGGGTTACAATAAGTCCTTTCTGTTGGGGATAATTCAGACTGAAATCGCCAGGTGTCAAAAAGGTTATTTATGTATGTTACTGCTGCAGCCCGTGTTTTGTTAGCCCCAAAATGGAAAACGAGCAAGGTCCCAATTAAACAAGAATGGCAACTTAAGTTGACAGAATATGCACAACTCACAGACTTAACATATAGAATAAGAGAACAAGAAGAACATATGTTTAAAGAAGATTGGGAGATGTTTATTGAATACAGTGGTACCTTGGTTTACAAACTTAATCCGATCCGAAGTCCGTTCTTAAACCGAAACTGTTCTTAAACCAAGGTGCGCTTTCCCTAATGAGGCCTGCCGCCACCAGTGCCCTTCCACCATTCTGCTTCCGTTCTTAAACCGAGGTAAAGTTCTCAAACCAAGACACTATTTCCGGTTTTGCAGAATTTTTAGACTGAATCGTTCTTAAACCAGACGGTTCTTAAATCAAGGTACCACTGTATATGGGAAATAATTGTGTACAGCTGAAAACACTGGCAGCATTATGATAAATTCAACAGTATAAACAAGTTTTGATGAATGCAATAATGCAATACTGAATGGTATAGTTTTTTGTAAAATGTACAGGGATTTATGATCTGTAAAATGAACTGTGGAAAGAGAAGAAGGGAAGTCACTGATAGCTTAAGGATGTAAAATGGGTATTTTAAATGGTAAAACAGAAAATATAATTAAAAATTTACACACACACACACACACACACACACACAAACAGAGTGTTTTTTTCTGGGGCGACACAGGGGTACGCATACCCCTAAACATTTTGTGAATCTTTGTACTTTTGTCCATTTACTGTATTTATTTTTCCTGATATGAACTATAAACTGGTGATTTTATTGAGTGAAAATGAGAGTACAGTCATATCTCTTGTTACGTTCGGTTCACGTTATGTCTTTTCAGGTTGCGTCCTGCGGCGACCCGGAAGTTCCAGAAAGGGTTACTTCTGGGTTTCGCCGCTTGTGCATGCGCAGAGGCTCAAAAATGACATCACGCACATGCACAGAAGCGGTGAATAGCGACCTGCGCATGCGCAGACGCGGGTTGCGTTCTGCTCATGTTGCGAACGGGCCTCCAGAATGGATTCCGTTTGCAACCAGAGGTACCACTGTACCCCTAAACAGAGAGAGAGGTTAACCATAGACTTGTACGCTTGGAAGGGACCCAAAATGTCATCTAGCCCACCCCCCTGAGCTAATGAGGAGCGCTTTCTTTCTCGGCAGGACTGAAGGGGGCATCACCAAAGGGGCTACGGTCGGGATCTTGCTTGACCTAACCAGGAGGACCTTGACCTTCTCCATCAATGAGGACCAGCAGGGGCCGGTGGCCTTTGAGAACCTGGAAGGTGTCTTCTTCCCGGCTGTCAGTCTGAACAGAAATGTGCAAGTAAGGAGGAGTGGGAAGGAGTCCGGGCCTCTGGGAGGAGAGACCGGGAGGTTTCTTGGATCTTGGGATGAGGCGCTCCCGTCAGTTGCTGGAGAGGGGCAGGCAGAGAGTGGGAAGAACAGGAATCAGAACGGGAAACCCAGAGTTACATTGGCTGGCGATGACAGGAGTTGGAATCCAAAACAGGCGGAGGAACGCCAAGGACTAGAAACTTGCTTTGACGAAAAGCAAGCAAGCTGTGATTTTCAGGTTGCTGGGTTAAATATTCAGAATCAGTTTGGTACTCAAAGCTAGTGCCCTCAAGCAGGGCATTCTGGTCAGGGGTGGGCTGGGCAGCAGGTGGCAGGTTCAAACAGCCGCCCCCCCCCAAAAAATGTCCTGTTCTGAATTGCCCAAACACTCCAATTTTGCTACTCATAAACATGGCAGTGGGGCGGGGCAGTGGGGGTGAGTCGTGTTCTGCCCAAGCCCTCGTTGTCTGCTCTTGTGTGGAATTAGGGAATATGCACAACAATGACTAAAGCAAAGGCATCAATTGGCATTTGAAGAAGAAGAAGAAGAAGAAGAAGAGTTTGGATTTGATATCCCGCCTTTCACTCCCTTTTAAGGAGTCTCAAAGCGGCTAACATTCTCCTTTCCCTTCCCCCCACAACAAACACTCTGTGAGGTGAGTGGGGCTGAGAGACTTCAAAGAAGTGTGACTGGCCCAAGGTCACCCAGCAGCTGCATGTGGAGGAGCGGAGACTCAAACCCGGTTCCCCAGATTACGAGACTACCGCTCTTAACCACTACACCACACTGGCTCTCATTTGGCCTCTTCTACCCCCTGATCATTGGGAAGGGCAGGCCCCCAAAAAATATTGGGAGGGCCCAAAGAGCTGGGCCCATAGGAGTTGATGCCTATGGTGTAAAGACAGCGGGGGAATTCATTTAATGTGTAAATATACAGTCATGGTCCTGCCATAATTCCCCCTCAAGTCCTAGTGACTTCCTGGGAATAATAATAAATAATAATAATAATAATAATAATAATAAATTAAATTTTTATTTATACCCCACCCTTCCCGGTTCAAAAACTGGGCTCAGGGGGGCTAACAACAAATTTAAAACACTGGGACTCTTCAGGATCAGGCCCCAGACTTGGTTCAGATGGTGCCTGAGGCAAAGGATCCGGTGCGGACTAAGACTCCTCTGGTTCCGAGTCCGAGCCCGAGTCCCAGGCCATCACACACACACACACACACACACAGAGAGAGATGGTTCTGTGAGCATGGGAAGATCAAATCCTGCCAGCTGTGATGGGATTAAAAATGCCACCCCCACTCCTCAGGGCCCGCTCAAGACATTTTGCTGCCTGCGGCAAGGAACAAGATGGTGCCCTTCCCCAAGGCACGGGCAGAAGCCCACTGGACTGGTGGTTGAATCTTACTGGGAAAGGGAAGTGTCTTCTACTGCAGCTGAATGCAGCCCATCAACATAGCACTCACAATCCCCGCAGCTCAGCATCTGCCGCCTGAGGCTGCTGCCTCACTTTGCCACATCGTAGGGCCGGCCCTGCCACCTCTTGTTGTACCCTGTACCCAGAACCTCCAAGTGTCCCTATTTTCCAGGGAAGTCCCTGATTTAGAGACGCCGTCCCGGTTTCTGATTTGATCCTGGAATGTCCCTATTTTCTTTGGGGAGTATGGAGTTATCCAACCCCTCAGCCATCCGAAGGCAATCCTGTATAGGGAAGTTTTCTTTTAATGTTTAATGTTTCATTGTGTTTTTATATATGTTGGAAGCTGCCCAGACCCAAAGTGTCTGGGGCAACCCAGTCAGATGTGTCGGGTATAAATAGTAAAGTTATCATTGTGGAATGAGATGTTCCTACAGTGGTACCTTGGGTTATAGACGCTTTGGGTTACGCATATTCAGGTTGCGGACCGCGGGAAACCCGGAAGTACCAGAAAGGGTTGCTTCCGGGTTTTGCCGCTTGCACATGTGCAGAAGCACTAAATCGCGCTTCGCATATGTGCAGAAGCGCCAAATCGTGTCGTGCACGTGCGCAGACGCAGCACTGCAGGTTACGAACACTGCGGGTTGCGGCCGTGCCTCCGTCACAGATTACGTCCGCAACCCGAGGCTCCACTGTATTTTCATTGGATAAATGTTGGAGGGTATTTGTACCAAGTTCTCTTTGCTTGCAGGTGACGCTGCACACCGGTCTCCCAGTCCCGGACTTCTACAACGCACGAGGCTCCATGCAGTAAGGAGTCAGGGGGCGCCCGGCGGCTTTTTCTCAGGACATACCGAGAGACCTGCGTTCGTTTTCTTCAGGAATTGACCTCATGGGAGAAAGGAGGAGAATATCTGGTCGTCTGGTAACTCCAGGCCAGCGGAAACCAAATTTTTTAAACAAACCAACAGACAAAAAGCGGGGTGGAATCTAGAGAAGAGAAAGGACCAAGCAGACTTTGGGCACCCGCCAGGGCCACCCCTCTCCGCCTTTCCAGCCCCACCTGTACGCTCTCTCTCTCTGTGTGTGTGCACGAGTGTGTGTTTGCTTTGCTAATTTTGCTCTTCCGGCTGACGACAGCGTTCCCAGAGAGAGCCTGAGATGCGACTCTCTCGAATCAGCTTTTGGGTTCAGTTATTCTTTCAGTTTGCGATTTCCCCTTTCCCCTAAATGTGGATCAGATTCCCGAGGGCACGGTGGCTGAACCAACTTGCGGATTCTCCAGCCAGAAGGAAAACTGAGCTTCACTTGCTATGGATGGAGAGTTGTGCATATAACATCAGGCAGACCCCCCACCCCACCCCAAGCCCCTGGGCGGGCAAGAATTGGCTGGTCCTTGAAGGGTTTGCAGAGTCCAGTTGACTTTTGCCTCCTCTGTCCTCGTGGCCTTTCTTGCTGAATGATACCTTCTCATAGACATCAGCTTGGGATCACCACTTAATTGACATACAAAAGCCATGCAGAATGATGAATCAAGCCTTGGGAGATGGGATTTATCTTAATTTTTTTACAGTCAAAGCAAAGAGTGGGGGGGGGAGGTCACATGATTCTCCCCCCCCCCCCGATTGCAGTGTTTAGCTTTTCGTTTTTCAAAGATCAGGCACCCCCTTTTTTTTGCTCCAGAGGATGCTCAAGGCAGTTCACCACAAAGCACAGAACACCGGTATAAACAAATCAACACTGGAAAATAATAATGTTGGTTATGAAGGATGGTATTTTAGCAGGGCATCCTTTGGGGCCTAGCAACTGAGGCCTGGTTCTCCAGCCCAGATGTGATGGGAGCTGCTCCCAGTACCCACATCTGAAGTGGTGCAGCTCAGATACAGGTCTAACAGCCCTGTGAGGGTGAGATGTATGATTTAGATCACTCTACGGAGGATTCCTCAATGTTTCTATCTGCATATGAAATTAGCACCATTTTCAAATTTGGAATTCTATTGGCAGAACTTCGTATTTGAGTTCTGAGTAAATTATCACTTTGTAGGAGCAGAACATTTCCATTTTCAGTGAGTTTCAAAACTCAAATGCCAACATTCCGATTTCTGAATGCTCCCCCCAAAATGCCACCCAGAAATGCCCCCCTGCCAGCATTCAGCAAATATATCCAATATCCCATTTCTTTTCTGATTGGGATGGATGGTTGTATTTAGCAGAACGTGACAATCTTCTGGCTCAAGTTAATTGGCTGTTTATCCAGACATTTGTCCTGTACCTCTGTAAACGGAGGGGGGGTCACCAATCTGTCTCTGAACGCCTGAAGTAGAAGGAGGCACCCACAATTTGCTCTAGTGTGCAACAAGGGCCCTTTGCACGCTAGAGACGGCAGCTCCCATAATGCATTTCTGTTTCTCATTTGTTTACATCGGCCTTTGCTATCCTGATATCCTCTGGCTGTTTCGGACTGAAGCAAAATGTGAGAGGTCACATCCTCCCAGTCCTATTCAAAGTACAAAACCTCAACAGACCGCTGAATCTTGTTTCAACATCCTCCACTGAACCCCAAGGGCGCAGGACAGGTTGCATAACACGCACATACACAGAGCTCCCTCCGCTGGACGCCTTTCAATATTTGCTGCCTGAGGCAGCCGCCTCATGTTAGGGCCGGCCCTGTGGGACACTCTTCATGCTGCGGTGTTTATCGCAGCTTTGACTGGAAACGGCTTCTTACATGATTGTTTTGTGTGCTAAGTCAGTTTGCAGAGCTGTGACTTCAGACTGGTCATGTTGGGGGGAGAGATTTCAGACTGGGAGAGAACCATATTCACAGCAAGGCTCAAAGGCTGGCTCTTAGATATATTCAAGTTTCCCTGTAAACCAGTCAATCCGTTGTGTTTAATTTTCATGCCGTAATAATGCTACATTATCAGCACCAGTCAAACAGTCATCTTCCTTCCTCTATCTCGCTATATTTCCAAGGCAAAGAGGCTTGTGCCTTTGACATCCTGACCTGGTGCGCAGGCCCACTTAATTGTTTGTGACATCAGTCACTGTGGTCTGCAACCCCATGCCTGCTAGCATGGGGTAAACACAGCTTAATGCAATTTCCTTCTGAGTAAGCATGCACAGGGTTGCTCGGGGACAAGTCTGCAGTCCTAAACGCACTTAACTTGAAGTAAATCCTGTTGAGCACAGTGGGACTTGCATGGCTTCCTTTTGAGCAAGCAAACAGGATTGCATATAAGTGTGCAGACCATCGGGAGGCCAGAGGTGCAGGTATTAATTAAGAATAAACTCATGCATGGTCTGAAACATGGCAGAGGCAGGTATCTGCCGCTGGACCTCCCTTGAATAGCACCCCTCTTTCCTTGTGCTTGATGCTGGGCTTTGTAGTCTTGGACTTACTGATTGCTTGCTACAGATATCAGAGGCAAGCACCCATGGGTGGCTTCCATACCACGTAGGTAACTAATGAAACCAGCTCTTTGGCTAGTCTGAGGCTGTATTAACAATGTGAGATTCCCTGACCATGTCAACACGGAGCTGTCAATTTTGGATAGCCCGCTCTAAATGGGCAGCTGCTTTTTTGCTCGGTGGGGGGGGGGGCTGCTTGCGGGGTCCTTTTTGATTCTGCAAAGAAGCTTGACGCAGCATGTTTCCGTTTTCTCTGACTACATCCCGGTGCATAGCATCCATCTCGCCTCATGCCCATGTGCGTGTCAGGGTGCCTAACCCTTTTCCATAGCAGCATTTCAAAATTAGCTACAGTGATGACTTTGCCTTAAAAAAAACCAACAACTACGAGGCAGATCTAGCATTCCTTTGTGGTCAACGACAGACGTGGAGAGGGGAAGAAAGAAGAGAGCAGGAATGCCTTCCTTTCACAATCTCAGGAAATTAAATATTCTCATTGCCATGGCTACCTCTCACGGTTGCCACCTTCCTGGTTTGAAACCAGATCAACCAGCATTACCCCCACCCATCCAAACGTGCTTCTTCTGTATCACCATAATATTATTATCTGCTCTTTGCATTGTTTGATTAACTGTGTCGCAGTTTCAACCCAGGCTGGCTCTCTGTCATTACGTTTCTGCCTGTGCTGGTCCCGGGGGTAAGGTACCTTGGGTGTAGCAGAGTCCACACGAAGAGGGGCAAGGTCCGAGGCAGAGAGCCGGGCGGGGAACAGGAATGCTGGAACAGGAGGCTGTGCAGGGAACAGGAACACCGGATGGTCGGGAACAGGAGGCCGAGCAGGGAACAGGAGTACCGGATAGTCAGGAACAGGAAGCCGAGCAGGGAACAGGAGTACCGGATAGTCAGGAACAGGAAGCCGAGCAGGGAACAGGAGCACAGGAAGGTCCGAGCCAACAACGACGTTGCTCCCGCAACCTGGGGCCGGGCTGACTGGGCTTTTATCCTCTTCTAAGGCCAGGGCGGTCCCGGTCCCCAGGAGCCCCGCCTCCTCTGGCCTTAAGGCGAGCACTCCTCCTGGGGGCAACCAGTTCCCTTCGCCTCTCTGCCCTAAGCCTCTGCAGATCAGGAGAGGCCGAGAGGGTTACTGGGCCCTGGAGGAGGCTCACCTGTGGCCACTGAGTCATCAAGCCCCTCTGGGGCCAGAAGGGCTTCACCTGGGGCCAGCTCCTGATGCACTGCCACAGGTGCAGGCTCTTCAGCATCTAGGCCTTGCCCCAGTTCAGCCGGCCCTGGAGGCGGGGACTCCTGTGCAGGCTGGGATTCCTCTGTTTCATCCTCCGAATCGGAATCCCAGGCCATCACACTGCCGAACTGGAAGGAACCACGTTGCAATGAAATACTCAGCCACCTCTGCTCCCGAAAGACCCACCTAGCAGCTGCCTCTAACTGCAATTTGAGTTGGGCGCAGTGCATGTGACCCAGTAAAATGCGAGCACAGATAAGGCCTCGGCAGTTGCATGTTTGCATGCGTTTCCATGTATCAGTTTACACCGGGGGCAGAAGGGTTTGCTGAGCATTTGCTGAGCAATGCCTTATAAGGAAACTAGTCTGGATAATGCCTGAGAGCAGGCAATGTGGTCAGGAGGTTGGTAGGAGGCTGGTAGCTGTCAGCAGGTGGCAAGTCAGGACCTGGGACAGCTCCAGAGCATCAGAGATGTTGTTCCAACAAGAGAAGAAGCCCTTGTATTTCAATGGTGCAACCCTGGATTTTGTGGAAGCCCAATCCTTCAATGGGACAGCACTCTGTCTTGGAGCCTGGCAGTTTTGTGGCATCTGGGGTCTCCAGGAGAGTGGGGGGGCCCCCATAAACGATAGGGATGCTGATATCTGTGGTCATACCAACCATCCACATTCCATTTTGGAGGAGGCAACTTTAGAAAACCTTAACCCTTCCATCGGAATCTGTTCCCATCTTGGGACCGGCTGCTAAATTTGGCGAATGTCATGTACATACCCTATGATGCCTCAAGTTCATCCCATGTGGTTGGTGCCATAATATTCTTTCTGTAGCACGGACAGCATGCTGGTCTGACATTTCCCTTTGCTTTCAGATTGGTGGCGCTCTCTAGAGATAGTTGTCTGCGGAGGGTTGAGATATTGTTTTCTTTCTTCTACCATTGTTTCTCATTGTAAGTTATTTAATTATCTGCTTTGATTCATTTAACCAGGAGTGGAGATAAATCAGGAATGGTGGGAAGAAAACAATCCAATGTAATAAATGTTAACAGCAAAAAACACACACAAAAAACCCCAAAGCAAAACAACAAAGGAGATGTCTGTAAATAAGTAATTGTTCCCTTCTAGGATTTCCTTCCCCTTAGAACTGATTTTTCTCTGTTATGGTGATGTTGTGCCAGCATTACGTTAAACATAATTTATTGAATGGGTGCTAACCTCGCAGTCTCACTCTTCATTTTTCTCGGCTGCAGAGGAGACAGGTTGCAGGGTGACGCCGATCTCCTCCTGGGCTTGGGTGGCTGGGCCACCTGCGGCCTTTTCCCCCATCAGCATCGATCTTGCTTCTTGATGATGTTCCTGATGCTTAGAATAGATTCCTAGTGAGTTCGTAACATGTCGTTGGCAACTTATTGCAATCCTTAGCTGCAGACAGCCGCCCTCCCAGGCCCAAAAGGGGTCCTGTGTGTTGTTCTAATAAAAGATTTTAGTCAGAGAATTGCCAGTGTTTCTGACTGTTTCTTTTTTTTGGGGGGGGGGGGTGCCTGGATCTGGAAGAAGTCGGGGGAGGGAGTGGAAGAGTACACCTACCGAAATACAGCCCAAAGCTCAGGAGTGTCTACAATACAACATCCGCCCGATAATAACAATAAATTAACGTGCTGGTCCCGTGGGTTACCTGAGAGGCGAGGTCCAAGTCCGGTCCATGGTCAAAGGTGCAACGTGGAGGCAGTCCGTAGTAGCTGAAGCTGGGTGCAGGGCAGGGAGTCGGGTGAAGTCAGGAACAGGCTTGCAAGCAGGGAGCCAGGGCGGGTCAGGAGCTCAGGCAGGTAAGCAGGACAGGGTTCAGGCAGGAACTAGCAACCAACAATGTTGCTCCTGCAACTTGGGACTGGGGCTGGCCGGCTTTCATCTGCCCCGAGGCATAGGGCGGCCCCGATCCTCTGGTGACTCGCCTCTCCTGGCCTGGAGGCGAGCACTCCTCCTGCAGGAACTTAGTTCCCGCCGCCTCTCTGCCCTGAGCCTCTGCAGCCCAGGAGAGGCTGGAGGGTTACCAGACCCAGAGGCAACCTCCACTTCCTCTGATGGGGCTGAGAGTGGAGCACCTGCAGGCAATGGGTCCTCCATCACCTCAGGAGCCAGAGCAGACTCAGCTGGTGCCTGCACCTGAGGATCCAGCACAGGTGAGGACCCTTCAGGCTCATGCCCCAGCCCCAGCTCAGCTGGTTCTGGAGGCAGGGAATCCTGTGCAGGCTGGGATCCCTCAGGTTCAGCATCCGAGTCCGAATCCCAGGCCATCACAATTAATAAATAGCAACAAGAATAATTTTTGTTGTTGCTGCAGAGTATCAGCTGATAGGCCGTCTCTCTACTGGTTTTGCAATGTGTTCTCCTGCTCTTAAATCATAACAAGAATAATAACATGGGTTACATTGGCCAGATACCATAGAATATAAAAGCCTCTTGAACTTTTAACAGTTGTGTAGAAGAGGGAATTGTAGCACATGCACATTTCATGGCAGCTATTAAAAGCGCAGGAGGTCTGTCTGTTGCCCCCTTCTTGACATCTTGGCCTTCCACGTCTCAGATCACATCCCGATGCAATTATAGGGCTGCCAGCTCTTTTGTTGGCCCCTGCAACTCGGCCTTTAGTAATGATGACATGTATTTCTGTGCTACAGAAACAAATCCATCAAATGAATCCAAGGCACAGCTGTTGAGGTGACCACCCTCTTCCTCAGTGCCTCTAGAAATATGGTCTTTCTGTGCAGTCTCGCAAGCCCCAAGACGGCAGCTGATCAAAATCCGGATTTTGAAATGCTGGTGCTGCCATTTTGATTTTGCAACATTCCCCCACGGGAAAACGGACTATGGTATCATTTGTTTATTTTTAATCACTGCCTGCTTTCATTTTAAAAACTAGCCAGAGATCAGAAGAGACCATTGTCTCCCAGCAGATGGCGTCATAGTCACATTCTGTTCCCAACCTTTGCCAACCTAGTGCCATGTTCAGAGGCTTCCAGTTGTTGAAATGCTGAATAACTTTGTCTCTGTAAAAAAAAAAAGCTCAGCAACTCTGCTCCCCTCAGTCAAACCCATTTTTGCAGGCAAAAATCAATCACTCACGGGGGGGGGGGGTTGACAATAAATTTTCTGCACCGGGTACCACCTGACCTTGCTATGCCACTGGCCATGTTCCACATATTCTGTGGCATGAATGGCACCGTTTCGCACCAAAACTTCTCCTGAATCTTCCAACAATCGGTTCATGGGATAGACAGGAGTTTTAGCATTATGACGGAGAAAAACTTCACGCCCCCTTTCTCCACATCATGTTACTCCCCACACACACCTCCTTTGCTCACTTCTTCTCTAACAGAAAAGTCCCAGATGTTGTAACCTTTCCTCTTGCTTGCATGCCCGTATCTTAAGTCTTCCTAAGAAGGAGGGAAGAATTGATGCTTTTGAATTATGGTGCTGGAGGAGACTCTTGAGATTGCCACGGACTGCACGAAGATCCAACCTCTCCATTCTGAAGGAAACCAGCCCTGAGTGCTCACTGGAAGGACAGATCTTGCACCGGGTGCAACATCTGGGGGGGGGGCGCTCGCACACACAGCTCTCTGCCCCTACCTGGCTCACTCTCTCTCTCACTCACTGCAGTGCTGGCTGTGCGAATCCGATCCGAGCCGCTGGGTCGCCGCCCACTGTGGAGGGGGTGGGTGCCAGGCGTGCGGTGCGGAGAGAGAGCGAGGGACTATCTGGGGGAGGGACAGTGCAGCGGCTGCCCAGCGCAGCGCTGAGCGCGGGAGAGAACCACACCAGACCAGACCAGGCAGCAGCAAGAAGAAGCTGGCAGCGGTGGCAGGTTAGGGGTTAGGGGGCGCAAATTACTTGCCTTGCCCCGGGTGCTGACAACCCACGCTACGCCGCTGCGCCAGGCACTCCTGTCTTCCACTGCCTCCCGCAGTTGGGTCAGACTCATGTTTGTAGCTTCGAGAACACTGTCCCACCATCTCGTCCTCTGTCGTCCCCTTCTCCTTGTGCCCTCCATCTTTCCCAACATCAGGGTCTTTCCCAGGGAGTCCTCTCTTCTCGTGAGGTGGCCAAAGTCTTGGAGCCTCAGCTTCAGGATCTGTCCTTCCAGTGAGCACTCAGGGCTGATTTCCTTAAGAAAGGAGAGGTTTGATCTTCTTGCAGTCCATGGGACTCTCAAGAGTCTCCCCCAGCACCATAATTCAAAGCATCCATTCTTCGGCGATCAGCCTTCTTGATGGTCCAGCTCTCACTTCCATACATCACTGCTGGGAAAACCATAGCTTTAACTATACGGACCTTTGTTGGCAAGGTGATGTCTCTGCTTTTTAAGATGCTGTCTAGGTTTGTCATTGCTTTTCTCCCAAGAAGCAGGCGTCTTTTAATTCCATGGCTCCTGTCACCATCTGCAATGATCATGGAGCCCAAGAAAGTAAAATCTCTCACTGCCTGCATTTCTTCCCCTTCTATTTGCCAGGAGGTGATGGGACCAGTGGCCATGATCTTCGTTTTTTTGATGTTGAGCTTCAGACCATATTTTGCGCTCTCCTCTTTCACCCTCATTAAAAGGTTCTTTAATTCCTCCTCACTTTCTTATACTTATACTTGAGTATAAGCCGACCCAAATATAAGCCAAGGCACCTAATTTTAGCACAAAAAATGGGGAAACTTATTGACTCAAGTATAAGCCGGTTCACCACACCACAAACCTGGTGGTGGCGGCAGAGGAAGAATAAGCAGCCCAAAAGGGCTGCTTTCAGGCTGCTCGTTCCTCCTCCTCTGCCTCTGACAGCAGCAAAGGCAGTGGAGGAAGAAGGGGTAGCCCAAAAGGAACCTCACTCAAGTATAAGCCGAGGGGAGCTTTTTCAGCATAAAAATTGTGCTGAAAAAGTCGGCTTATACTTGAGTATATACGGTATATAAAAATAATAAGAAGAAAAAAATTGTCCAGTAGCACCTTAAAGGTAAAGGGACCCCTGACCATTAGTTCCAGTCACGGACGACTCTGGAGTTGCGGCACTCATCTCACTTTATTGGCTGAGGGAGCCGGCGTACAGCTTCCGGGTCACGTGGCCAGCATGACTAAGCCGCTTCTGGCGAACCAGAGCAGTGCACGGAAACGCCGTTTACCTTCCCACCACAGTGGTACCTATTTATCTACTTGCACTTTGACGTGCTTTCAAACTGCTAGGTTGGCAAAAGCTGGGACCGAGCAACGGGAGCTCACCCCGTCGCGGGGATTTGAACCGCCGACCTTCTGATCGGCAAGCCCTAGGCTCTGTGGTTTGGACCACAGCGCCACCCGTGTCCCTAAGTAGACCAACTACCATATTTTTCGCTCTATAAGACGCACCAGACCACAGATGCACCTAGTTTTTGGAGGAGGAAAACAAGAAAAAAAATATTCTGAATCTCAGAAGCCAGAACAGCAAGAGGGATCGCTGCGCAGCGAAAGCAGCAATCCCTCTTGCTGTTCTGGCTTCTGTGCTAGCTGCGCAGCCTGCATTCACTCCATAAGACGCATACACATTTCCCCTTACTTTTTAGGAGGGAAAAAGTGAGTCTTATAGAGCAAAAAATACAGTAAGTTTGTTCTTGGCATGAGCTTTCGTGTGCTGTTGTTGAGGCTTTGCAAATTAAGCCGGTGTGGTTTGTGGCGAAGAGTGTTTGTCTAGGACCTGAGAGACCAGGGTTCAAAACCCTACTCAACCATAAAGCTCACTGGGTGACCTTGGGCCAGCTGCTCACCTCAGCCCAACCTACCTCACAGGGTTCTTGTGAGGATAAAATGGGGAGCAGAAAAACTAAGTAGATCACTTTGAGCTCCTTGGAGGAAAGATATAATTTTGAAACAAACAACACAATGCATTCCCAGTTCAATCTCCAGGCAGGGAGGGGAATGCCTCTCTCTGTGAAATCCTGGGGAGCTGCTGCCAGTCAGTGCATGCATTATGGAACTAGAAGGACCACTGGGTCTGGCTCAGTAGAAGGCAGCATCTTGCGTTCCTCTCCGACTTCCTTCCTGCAGGAAACTCCGGCTTCAACATCCGATTTCCCCCCAGCAACCGTAATGCAGGAAGCTGCACAGAGTGATGGCTTCAGGATGGATTGATGTCAGGTCTATATTCAGTTGCAGCCGGGGGGGGGTGGCCCTCCTCCTCTGAGGTGCAGTAGGCACCCCCTGCTGTGAGCAGTCCACCCTGCTCAGCATCTTTGCATCCTTCCCAGACCCAACATCAAGGAAAGCTCATTTCTCCTGTCGCCTCTAATATCATGGGCCTCAGCCAACCCTCTAAAGCAGAATTATCACGGGCGCCGTCGCCAGGCAAAGGACACCCTCTCCTTGACATCTAAATTCCATTTACAAGGGCCCTCTGAGCTCCTCTTCTGTCTGGAGTTAGCATCTCCTTGATGGGCAAATGGGATCTAAGCTCCCTTTCAGACTATAATCCTATCATTGGCTCTTGGTTCAGTTGGAGAGGTTAAGGGAAGCAAGACTCCATGTGACAGATCAGGTGTGCGATGCGGACCGGTTTCCAATTTCTGCATGTCATGTATAATTCTATGAACTTATATCATATCGCCTCTCACCCGCCTTTCCCCTAAACTAAACCCAGAAGCCCCAAATGCTGCAACCATTCTTCATAGGGGACTCACTCCATCCCCTTGATCGTTCTGCACTTCCAGACCATCTTCAAGGGTAGCCCCATGCAGAGTGCACTGCAGTAATCTATCCCAAACGTTATTAATGCATGGGTACTGATATAATAATAATAATAATAATAATAATAATAATAATAATAATAATAATTTATTATTTATACCCCGCCCATCTGGCTGAGTTTCCCCAGCCACTCTGGACGGCTCCCAATCAAGTGTTAAAAACAGTACAGCATTAAATAGTAAAAACTTCCCTAATTAGGGCTGCCTTCAGATGTCTTTTAAAGATAGGATAGCTGCTTATTTCCTTCACATCTGAAGGGAGGGTGTTCCACACGGTGGGCGCCACTACCGAGAAAGCCCTCTGTCTGGTTCCTTGTAACCTTACTTCTCGCAGTGAGGGAACCGCCAGAAGGCCCTCAGTGCTGGATCTCAGTGTCCGGGCTGAACGATGGGGGTGGAGATGCTCCTTCAGGTATACAGGACCGAGGCCGTTTAGGGCTTTAAAGGTCAGCACCAACACTTTGAATTGTGCTTAGAAAAGTACTGGGAGGCAAGGCAGATCTCTCAGGACCAATGTTATGTGGTCTCGGCGGTCGCTCCCAGTCACCAGTCTAGCTGCCGCATTCTGGATTAGCTGTAGTTCCCGGGTCACCTTCAAAGGTAGCCACATGTAGAGCGCATTGCAGTAGTCCAAGTGGGAGATAACTAGAGCATGCACCACTCTGGTGAGACAGACTGCGGACAGGTAGGGTCTTAGCCTGCGTACCAGATGGAGCTGGTAGACAGCCGCCCTGGACACAGAATTAACCTGTGCCTCCATGGGCAGCTGTGAGTCCAAAATGACTCCCAGGCTGCACACCTGGTCCTTCAGGGGCACAGTTACCCCATTCAGGACCAGGGAATCCCCCACACCCTCCAGCCCCGTCCCCAAAAAACAGTACTTCTGTCTTGTCAAGATTCAACCTCAATCTGTTAGCCGCCATCCGTCCTCCAACCGCCTCCAGGCACTCACACAGGACCTTCACCGCCTTCACTGGTTCTGATTTAAAAGAGAGATAGAGCTGGGTGTCATCTGCATACTTGTGAACACCCAGCCCAAACCCCCTGATGATCTCTCCCAGCAGCTTCCTATACATATTAAAAAGCATGGGGGAGAGGACGGAACCCTGAGGCACCCCACAAGTGAGAGGCCAAACCCTCTTAGTCCAGGAATGTCTATAGCTGGTGAACCATCCACAGGTGGCCATAAGCCCTCCTTGCCACTGAAGTCACCTGTGCCTCCGGACACAGCTTAGAATTGTGAAGCACTTCCAAACTACTTACCTGCTTTTTTTTGGAGGGGGGAGGGCCACCTCACCTAGAATAGGCCAGCACCCCGATTCCTGAACCTCAGCACCACTGACTCATATGACCTCTGCCTTGCCAGGATTCCGGTTTGGTTTATTGGCCCCCATCCCTGCCTCCGGACACCAGTTCAGTACCTGAACTGCCTCTCCTGATTCAGATGGACTGGAGAGATAGCATAAAATGTCCCTAAAGCTATTATGCCTAGCAAGTTGGGTCTCTGTGTTTCCTGTACCTGCAAAGCCTCACGTGCTCTTAAGAATATAAGAGGAGCCCGCACGCAGGATCAGGCCAAAGGGTGCTCACCTAGGACAGCTTTTGTTCTCAGAGTGGTCAGCCAGAGGCCTCTGGGAATCCCATAAGCAGACCCAACCTACCTCACAGGGTTCTTGTGAGGATAAAATGGGGAGCGGAAGAACTAAGTACAGTGGTACCTCGGGTTACATACGCTTCAGGTTACATATGCTTCAGGTTACAGACTCCGCTAACCCAGAAATAGTGCTTCAGGTTAAGAACTTTGTTTCAGGATGAGAACAGAAATTGTGCTCCGGCGGCGTGGCAGTAGCAGGAGGCCCCATTAGCTAAAGTGGTGCTTCAGGTTAAGAAAAGTTACAGGTTAAGTACGGACCTCCGGAACAAATTAAGTACTTAACCCGAGGTGCCACTGTAGGTCGCTTTGAGCTCTTTGGAGGAAAGATATACCATATTTTTCGCTCTAAAAGACGCACCAGACCATAAGACGCACCTAGTTTTGGGAGGAGGAAAACAAGAAAAGTGAAAGCAGCGATCCCTCTTGCTGTTCTGTCTGCTGGGATAGCTGCGCAGCCTGCATTCCCTCTATAAGATGCACACACATTTCCCCTTAC